CCCATCTTTAATGTTGTAGCGGACTTGGTCATGTGCTTTGCCTTTAAGGCATGAGACGACATATCCCATACGTTGAGGTTCCGAGTTCCACCAATCTTTATTCATTTCGAGCTTCAACTCGAGGTGCTGGAGGAAATTCGGCAGAAGCGTGGGTCCTCTCCGGTGAAGGCCTCAGGATCAGGGTGTTCTGGTGTGCGGTGTGAAGCTCCTTTGACTGAATGATCTTTATGTACGCTTCATTTTCTGCCATAAGACGGGCGATCATTGCGTCTCCATCACTTTTAGAAATGAGCGTGTTTTCTAGGCGGGTTTGGAGGTCCTCCATTGCCCTATTTGTCGTCGTGGTCGAGGCACGTAGTGAATCGATTACCGCTTGCATACTGTATGCGGCATTGCATACGAGGAAGACTTCTTTCATGAGACCGGCTGGGTTAGCAACAAAGGCATTTCGGAACGTTTCATCGGTATTGCTGGCGTTGAGGAGGGCAGGGGGCACTCGATCGACGGGTGTGGGGGTAGCGGTAGCCATTGGGTTGTTGACGGTGATGGCTATAGTGCAGGTGGCGTTCGACAGTTTCGTTACGTTTTAGTTGACTTTGCGATTGTGATTTGTTGGTTTGTTGGTTTGCTGATTCGTTGATTGGTGAATTTGGTGCGGTGGTGGTGGTTTAGGTGGAAATTTGGTTGCAGGGTGTTTTGGTGAGGTTAGAGGTATCGAAATCAATAGTCACGTCGCGGACAGTGGTCTATTGAGGAAGGGTAGTCGGTAGACAATATGTGACGGTACAAGTGCACGAACAAGGTCGAGTGCGACTTGGGTAAAGTGATTGTCTACAAGAGAGAAAGAGGTTCCTAAGGAAGACTCTGACTTTCGCTATTTACATGAATAAAAGCGGGACCTTTCATAAAGTATGAAAGTCACATGATCGTTCCCTCACATGTTTGTCTTCCCGCCAAACTGCTTGCCCTCTATACGCTCTACAAAAACAGATCCAAGGTTTGTATTAAAAGGGGGCTCTTTTATTATGCCTTTTCAAAGTTGTATAAGTGCTCTCTGTCCTATCCGCTACAGTCTCCCCACTTTTGTGTGCCGGTTAGGCAGAGCGCCCTCTCGGAGCCTCCTATTGCGCAGCGCTCCACGGGCAAGATTCTCCAGGCCCAGTCTCAATAAAATCCGGCTCCCAAAAATAGTCACGAACTCACGATCCTTTGGCATTGATTCGAGCAGCTCGTCAACAGCCCCCATGGTCTCCTCCGCTCGGAATGCATCTGGCCATCCGTGCTGACGGTACATCTGCCTGAGATACTGGATTTCCAGATCGGTCCCCCACTGGTCAGTCTGGGCGCAGACTTACTCCCTGATAATGTCTTGGGTTCGTTCGCCCACGTTTTCGGCCTCGATCGTGGTTCTCCCGAGGCACGGGATAAGCTTGAGGTTCCGATATGCCTTCTTCAGTTCTTCAAAATAGAATCCAACGTCTCCTTTCGGGACGTCCTGGGCGCGAAACATATCCTCAAGAACTTCGCCGTCTCTCGCGATCAACCACATGTAGCGGCCATAGACTCGTAGGACTCACGGCTCTGGGCGAAACAGAGGACGTCGGCCGCGTCGACCAACCCGTCCTCGTAATGGTAGATTTCCATAATGTATACCGCCTCGTCGCCTCTCCAGAAGTCGTTGGCGTTCCAGGCACTAAAGTCGATCGAATGTGATTTGAAGTGCACGACTGCCTCGTTGCGCCCCGTCTCAAAATACGGCAGGTGGCGCAATAATTGGATGATGTAGTCGGACTTAAAGCCCGCGCAAAAATCTTGCGTCATATGTGGCCAACCCCAAGTGTAGCGACTTCTAAGTTGGCCGCGTCAATGTGCAATGTCGCGAGAAAATTGTGAAAGTCGAAGAAGATGGTTCCGAGTTCTTCGGGCCTGTAACGAGATCCCCTGGTGGACGAAGCAGCATCTGGGTCTGCTGGGCCCAAAGCCGAGGCCGGTGGCGAGTTGTACGCGTAGTTGACTGGCGCACACATTGTCCTCCAACGCTTGCTAATAAATTTCGAGGTTGTCGTTGAAGCAGGTGGCCTGATTAAGTAAAGGATTTGGATGGTGGGTTTGGCTTTGATTTATGAGTCAACCAACACGCCTAGCTGCGGTCGTATCTCCTCCCGATGTCGTAATATGTTCGTGCTCTACCGTTACGACCACATTAGATCGCTCCTTTATATAGGCAGATACGGGTGCCTGGGGTCCTGGAACCCTGTCTTCAGAAGTCGACATGAGCAGGCTCGCTGGAACCTGCCGCCGCCTTACCGCCGCATCAACATTGATCTCTACGCTACAACACCAACCATTGCATATAGAGGAATCTACAGGCGTGCAAAATAGTCGAGGCAATTCTGGAGCATGGAGCTGGCATGACAGCTAGAGACAAAAATGGACGGACACCAATGGAAGCTGCTCCCAGTTGTGGCCAGGCTAGGGCTGGCAAGAAAACGCTTGAGTGGCGGCGGTGGCTCCGTCTCTTCTCCTTGCCCATGGAGCCGAAGGCTGCTGTCAATGATGATGGGTGTATCCTCTATATGGCGCTGCATAACATGGTTGTGTTGATATCGTCGGATTCTACGGAGCAGATATTTAATCGTTTGCCATGGGGACTCAGGCACGGTGTCCACTGGCGGTCGTCTAACATGCAGGTGCTGGCCAACAATCCAGCCTAGTATCCGGTAGATGAATCTCGACCCAACCTACTCGCGGGTCCCTATCGCCTTTCTCGTTTCTCATCCGACACCCCCCGCCCTGATTTCTGTATCATGCAAAATTTCGCGTCGCCAACGACTTAGAGAAAGCCCCGCCTCGTGCGAGTTCTAAGCCTGCCTTATGTCGCTGGCCAAGATGAGATACTGTAGATTAGCTCCCGCGTAACGTGGACCTCGGGATGGCAGGACGGCTCTTACTCGACAGCCGAGGGATGTGTGTGAAGGTGTTGATGTACGTCTTTCTCAAGCCTCACGCGACTGCTAGTCCGGGGCTTAAGGCAACAAGTTTTGGGCTCTGGTGGCTGTTAAGTCAAATCAATCAACGAGGACTGGGCGCTGCGTTCTCGACTCCGTACGAAGCTAGATGAACAGGAAACTAAAGAGCTCCAGACTTATATTTGGACTATAGAGGTCAGGGGGCACGAACTTCCTCTAGTTAGGATACCAGGGGGGGACAGTACGGGATATTCAACATGTCCGTAGTGTTGAGAAAGGACGTGAAAATGCTGTCTTCGGTTACCTGGCGGGAAAACAGTACCTTGCAACAGTCCACCAGGCTGACAACAGCCGCGACTTCTCCGCTGGGAGACATGTCGATGGCTAATGGCGTTGGCCTTCAAAGCCTATATGACTGCAAGACGAAGGGTTGTGACCACTTGAGAGATGGAGGTCGACGATTGGAGCAGCCGTCGCATCTCATGAGTAATGCACGGCAAAAAGCTGAATCTGCACCGCTTTAGCCTACTCCGATCGAGAACCACTGCATGCTATGGTCACCAGTGGATAGGTCTAGGAGGCGATGGTAGGTGCCGCCCGTAAGATGTCGGACGCCAAATTTAACACGACGAAGTCAATAGGAAAGACGAACGCTCATGGGACGCTGCAGTGCGTCAAACAAGGTCGTCTCTGTAGCGAAACGACAATTCCGTAGAAGGAGGCTTGGGGGTAGGCAGAAATGAGACGGCGGGAGGGGGAAAAGCGAGAGAAGTCGAGTGTAAGTCGCCACGGCGCCCTACCCGAATCGGGATGCCACCAACCCCAGCGGGGACAGCAGCCTGTTCCAGAATACGGACAATACAAGAGGAAAAGAAAAATTTTCCCTCCTTGGACCCGCGCCTAAGCCGATTGGCCATCCCTGCGCCGGTTCCAGGATCCGAGTCAGATAAGGCCGTTCTCTTACTAAGTTTGTCATCGTCGTCTCCTTTCCTGAAGCGTAATGGCGCAGCAGCGGATGGGATTGGCTTTACATAAGGGAATTGCAGGTTTATGCAGATTCGTGCGGACGAGGGATGAGGAGGAGGGCAAGGGTTGAGGGGGGCTCCTCTTGGATTCCTCTCTGGCGGCCTGACATGCGCTGGAGAACATAGAGCACAAAGAAATGGCGGGCGGTTCCGAGTCCCCGGCAAGGCTTTTACTGGGGAACGCTGGAAAAAGGAAAAAAAACCGGATGTGATGCCGGCTCGGAGCTCGGGCCCGGCTCGGAGCGGCCAAGGCACGTGGCGGCATCGACGGCGCAATAAGACGGGCAAAGAAACGCGCAAACGCGTTCGACGGAAGCACTCGCCAATGCCACGTTCGCTCTCGTGTGTATGGATGCAAGTTGCGGATTCCGATCCTGCCTCCGTTGCACTGATGGAGCCACTGGGGCGCCGAGCCGACAGTGGACGGACGACCAGCCGGACGGACGGAACGCTTCCATTTGTCTTCCCCTATCTTTCCTCCCATGGCCCCACGACAAAGATAGTCGCCGACCCCGTAATATACCACGTACGGTGGAAAAGGTCTCAGCAGACGACGCAGTATCTAGGGCATCTGGTCGCGATAGGGCATGCTCCGTATAATATGGGCCCCCCCCGTGGAGCCCGTCTCCTCCTGCTCCCGCCGTCGGATTTGTTATTAGCCTCCCGCACGCCCACACGCTCTTCGCGAAAACCTCGCTCGTTTGCACTCTGGGCGCGTGTCTCTGCTATTTACACATCTTTTGTGCTGTGTGCCGGTGGTTGTTTGAGCCTGATTGCCCTCGTCGGCTTCAAAGCGTCTGCACTCTCTCTCCGGCCCTCTTTTTCTGCGTTCCTCGGCCGTCTCTCGGACAACACGATCCTCAACAACAGTGATACAATAATTCCTAATAAGGAAGCACAAATTTCACCGAAAGAAGAACAAAAGAAAGAAACAGCCAAGCACCGTCCGAGACACGAACACGCCGCCTTGAGCCGGCGCCCCCGTACCCCCCCGGCCGCCTCTCCGATGGCCGGCGAAAAAACACTCGACGCCAGCACCGCAAATGCCGTGAAGACCGACCGACCGCCCTCGGCGGCGGCCCGGCCCGAGAAGCCCGCGCTGCACGATGTCGAGAACGGCCAGAACGACACGGGGCTCGACCGCGCCCTCAAGGGACGCCATCTCCAGTTCATCGCGATCGGCGGAACGATCGGCACCGGGCTGTTCCTGGGCATCGGCGGTGCGCTGGCCAAGGCGGGCCCTGCGTCGCTGCTGCTGGCCTTTATCTTTGTCGGGGCCGTTGTTTACTCGGTCATGACGGCGCTGGGCGAGATGGCGGCTTACATGCCCGTTACCGGTGCCTTTACCGTCTACGCCTCGCGCTTTGTCGATCCGTCGCTGGGCTTCGCGATGGGCTTTATCTATTTGATGAGTTGGATCATCACGTTTGCTGTAAGCAGTCCCAGCTTTCTCGCCTGTTGAACTTCACCTCGTCACTCGGGACCGGGCTAATCTTCCTCGACAGCTCGAGTTGACGGCCGCGGGCCTCATCATCCAGTACTGGAACGAGAGCCTCAACATCGGCATCTGGATCGCCGTCTTCTGGGCCGTCTTCACGGCGGCAAACTTCCTGCCCATCCGCTGGTTCGGCGAGCTCGAGATGTGGTTCTCGAGCATCAAGGTCGTCACCATAGTCGGCTTCATCATCTTCGCCCTCTGCGTCAACGCCGGCGCCGGCGAGCAGGGCTACATTGGCTTCAAGTACTGGGTCACGCCCGGCGCCTTTGCCGAGCACCTGGTCGGCGGCGCCACGGGCAAGTTCGTCGGCTTCTGGGCCGTCCTCATCACCGCCGGCTTCTCATTTCAGGGGACCGAGCTGGTGGGAATCGGCGCGGGCGAGACGGAGAACCCGCGCAAGGAGATACCATCGGCGATCCGGTGGACGTACTGGGGCATCTTTGTGCTCTTCATCGCCACCGTCTTCTTTGTCGGCATCGACGTGCCCTTTGACGACGCCAACCTCAAGAGTACGTCGACCAACGCGTCGGCGTCTCCCCTCGTCATCGTGGCCAACCTGGCCGGCGTGCGCGTGCTGCCGCACATCATCAACGCGGTGTTGCTGACGGCAGTGCTGACGGCGGCCAACTCGGACGTCTACTCGAGCAGCCGCATCCTCATCGCCCTGGCCGACGAGGGCCACGCGCCGAGCTTCCTCAAGTCGACCAACCGCTTCGGCACGCCGCACTGGTCCGTCGCCGTGTGCGCCTCGTTTGGCCTGCTGGGCTTCCTCAACCTGTCCAAGGACGGCATCACCGTCTTCACCTGGCTGCTCAACATCACCGCCGTCGCCGGCTTCATCGTCTGGTCCCTCATCAACCTGTGCCACCTGCGCTTCATGCAGACGCTGGCCGCAAAGGGCATCTCGCGCGACGAGCTGCCCTACAAGGCGCCCCTGCAGCCGTATCTGTCGTGGTTTGGCTTCTTCTTCAACGTCTTGATCCTTCTGACCAGCGGCTTCACCGTCTTCATCGAGTGGAGCGTGAGCGACTTTTTCGCGTCGTACATCAGTGTCATCATCTTTGTCTCCCTCTTTGTCGGGCACAAGCTCTTTTACCGCACAAAGGTGGTCAAGATTGCCGACATTGATCTCGGTTTGGGACGGTCGAGCATCTAGTCCATCCTCTCCCCTCTTGATATTGCCCTCCCCTTCCTGGGCTTGTATTCTCATTGTACGTTTGTGAGTACATATATACACTAGTTAATTGAGTATTCCAGCTGAACGTGGAACTGTCTGTTCCTGGCCATTTGTTTCCTGTGCATGGGGGCATGTCCGCGCAAATCCCCCAAGAGCCACTCATGGGCGTGATATACATCGCGCCCACCGCCTGGTAAAGCCCGCAATCATCACTGCCCTGAATCGTCCCATCTTTGGTGATGCCAGACGTCACCATACCTGCAATACGTCCTTCCATATCCCAAACACAGGCGTCTTGGGCTAACTGTCGTCGAGAAGCAGTCCGTCATAAGAACCGGGCTTCCGGCGACGTTTTTTGACGATTGGCCGCCGAGCAGACAATTTTCCGCAACCTTCCACGCGACAGACCGAGCAACGGACCGAGGGATGCGGCTGAAAAAGCTCGGTCAACCGCTGTCGTGGATCTTCTCGTACCTTTTGCGGCTGCCAAGTAGTGCGAGAGTTTGCCGCCACGTCCTTGATATCCCTGTCATTGATCTTCTCGGCATTCTTGGGGTCCTGGAGACCATTTCCCGAATGTGCGGCTCTTCGACCGACAACTTGTCTCGGGCACGTCCGGCAGGGGTTGTGTGCTGTAGGCATGTATGAATCATTTGCATGATTCTGAAGGCGGAAAATATTTCTTGTCTTCGTCTTGGTTTCGATATCACTCACCCCTTCGCGACGAGGGTTGTGGCCAGGTCTGTCCCTCCATCTCTTCGACGTCCTCGTATAATTCAGTGTTCCGCGAGAGACCTGAGGTGCGTCCGGCGGCCAATCCGTGTACTCGGTTCCGTTTCCAACCAGCCGGCTCTGCGTGGCGCTTTGTGAGCCCACACCAAACCTTGAACCACCACAGGTGAAATGAGTGACTTGGGCGTAGCATGTTCCAGGGCTTGTCCGAAGACCCAGGATGCGCACGCAGGCTTGAGGGGGTGGTGCCAGGGGGCAAGCTCTACGCAACGCTGGCATTTGGGCACGATCCGCGAGCCGAGATATAAAGTAGACGATGAATGCCAGCCGATTCTATCGTCTGTCGATCTCCTTCAACGCAGCGTTGGCCTCAGGGCGTCTCGTAAATGTTGCCGCCCAGCCGAATGGTCCCTTGGCGTCAGCGCCAAACCTCGAGGATGCCATGTCGTGGTCCTTGCAGCAACACCCATGGGACGACCAGTAGGCCCCAGCGGCCGAGGAGCTCCGTGCCACCTCCACCAGCGTCTCCTGCAGAGAGCCATCGAAAGTCCTAGCAGCCATGTCGGGCGCCGTTATCAACAAAGGTGTATTGTTGGTTTGGCAGAGCTCCGCTGTATATCGCCATTCAGGCTCGAGATTTGATGCCTATCAGTAGACGTTGTCTGCCTCGCGTGTAACGTGTGCTACATTAATCGGCTCGCCGAGCCTCCATCGATTAGGAATCTCCTATATGTTCTCGTGCCTAACTCGCGCGGCCTTGTCCGGGTTGGCCATAAGAAACCGTGCGAGGGCCGAGTAAAACAAGCCCTCCCGGTAGATCACAGGGCTGTTTCTCACCCCCGCAGGCACACGGAGCCGGGGGTACTAATAGCAGCTCTAACCTAGCTGCGAACGAGTAATCTTGTAGGCGCAGATCGAACGAGCTTCACCAGTGATGCCGGGGTCAATCGCGCCCTCTGCCATCAGGGTGGTGGCGTACCTCTCTGCGTTTCTAGCACCTATAGACGCGTCGAAAAAGTGCCTGGTGGTGATCAGACCGGCGGAGAAGCACTTGCCCACGCGTTGGAGTATGAGCGAGTAGTTCCGGCACCGCCGCGACGTTGGGAAGGATAGCGTATTGTAGTGCCGTCTGAAACCCGCTCATCTTTTTCTGCCAGCCGACGACGACGTGGCCGCCTCAGCTGGTCCTGGGGTTCCTCAAGCTTCGCCCGGTGCCGGTCTTTCGTCTCGGGGAACTGGGCCAGCCACCGTGTGATGTGTTCTCGCAGTAGATGCCTGTTCACGTATACCACGTAACTGTTGCCAAGTGTCCGACTTGCGGATAGTACGGCCCATTTGCGCGGCTGTCCAGTAGATGAAGACGCTGGCGTTGTCTCCCCCGGGGCCCGGCATGGTCAAGTACTACTCGAACTCGGACATCGTGAGACCATGCCGGGCCGCAGTATTGACCAGCGCACAGTACATTGTGCCGATAGCGGTGTCTTGAATTGGCAAAAGACTGGCGAAATGGTTGAACCCAGCTTGTAGACATAGCAAGAGCTCCTCGACCTCCATACATGATGACGGCTGGCCAAGCATCCAGCGTGTAGGCTGCCCACCGGGTTCGAGTGTCCTGTCTGCTCAAGAATCACTCGCGTCGTTGATCGTCATGATGGTGCTATTCCGGAAGGCCATGAATGCATCCGTTGCCATCGTCTAGGGTGGGAGGCCAGATGCCGCTGCATAGCTTGTGGAGTGACTGTGATGGAGAGCTGGCCGCAATGAGTGTTCGTGCCAAGGCTGAATCGTTCATAAGAGTCCAGGTTGGCCGACTGCAGACTGCACCATCTTGTTTTGCGGTGGGAGCGCGATCGGGACTCCGCAGCTGTATGGTAAAAGGGGACAAGGGAGAGAGATCAGTTGTGTGGTGAGGGAGGTTTAAATATGTGGCACAGCTGGTTTGGATGCCCTGATACCAAGGCAAACAGGGCCTGGGCTGTCAGATTGACCCATGCGGGAGAGAGAGTAGGGCAAGAAGAAGACAGGAGGCAGATAACCGTCATGGGACCAATTGATATGCTGGTCAGGCTGTCGTCTGTGAATCACGTCAACATGCGCCGTCGGCGTTTGCATCTCGTCCCCACGCGGCCCTCTTGTCATTGTTTGTGTGACCGCACAAAGACCCCGGGTGAAAGTGACGTCAGCCAGGGCAATTGCTCTCAATGTCGTGCTTGAAGCATCACTGGAAATCGGGTCTGGAATCCTCTCCGGGTCCGGCGCGGGCCCGGCTGTTTGTGAAGGCGCCGAGATGTGACAATTATGGGTTCCAGGCTTCTGGCTTGCAGAAAAGAGGTTTGAGGGCGTGTGAGGAGATATCCAAGTGAACTTAATTCTATTCAGGCTACGTAAACGTCGACAGAAGTCCCATTCAATACATGATCGTCTACCTGGTTGCGGCGACGACTGTATACATACAAGATGATTTTGGTGGTTGAAAGCAAGAGACGGTTCGTGACGTTCGTAAAAGCATAGCCAAGAGATTGTAACTGACATCAGACAAGCAGTGTTGCAGTCATGGGTTCCATATGAGCATGCTGGACGTTTGGACGCAACGCTGAAGCTTCTGGTGATAAGCAGCACGGCCGGCACAATGCAACACGCAACGTCAATGTACTCGGCACATTGTGAATAAAGGTTACATGAGTGTGCCGAGTGTGCGTCTACCTGCACCATTGACGCATGGCCTCTCGGGCTGCGAGAACCGAGAGGCATGGCCTGCTTTTGCTCGCATGGTGATTACCTTTCCCATAAATAACCCTCTGCAATTCCAGTCCCAGCAGACATCTATCGTCCTTTCAAGCCTGCGGTGACCGCGTCTGCCTTGGGAGCATGTGCCTGCGCCGGTATCAATGGGGCAATTTCACATGCCAGCCAAGGGGCCTCTCGCGATTTTATCCCTGCTCCGGGGTGGGTTATCAACCCTGGTCGGGGTGGGTTTTCCCCTGGTTATAAACCGCCGTGTGGCGTGCTCCCCTGCGAAAAATGACTCTCCCTGGTCCTGGAGGGACGAGTCAAGAATGTTGAATCGATGCCAAGACGCAGCAGCGCTACAGCATGACAGCAGCGAGAGATCTGTGGGTACTATACGTCGTACCCACTGGTTCACCGACACTTGTTGGTTGAGCAGTTGTTGAGTCTGACAGCCGCGGCCCGGTTGTGACGAGTGAAGGTGATGGAGCTTCCTCGTTGCCCTCGACGGAGCCTGTGCACCGCCAGTGTGTGAGAGCGGGTTGCGCAGTCCACCTTTGTCAGTCCTCTGATTACTCTCAGTCTCCCTCCCCAACGTGATCACTTTCCGCCTTTGGGCATCGTAGATATTACGGCCTGTGGCTTGAGACGGATGGAGTGGCGTACAGCCAACATAACCCCGGACCGGGGGGAAGGGGGCTCTCCAGAGGCCGAGAGGGCCAATGACCGTCGAGCCAACTGCATACGGATGGATCTGCAGGGCCCCGGAATAGTGACAAGACAAGTGGCATAAAAAAAAAGAGTTCACGCACGGCTGGAGAGCTTCGACTGTCGCGCGCACAACTTGAACCTGACATTGAAAAGGGGACGGACAAGACTCGGGCAGCAAACAACTGGCGAGCTTCCCCCGAGCACAAACAACTTCCGTCTCGCCTGGTCGAGGGTGAATGGAGCGGAGACCGGGCCTTTGTCGTTGTCGTCGCTGTCGAAGCTCGTGTCCTCGCATCATCTCCATCCAGAGGCAGTAATCATTGACCCGGCGCGCCGCGTTATCCTTTTCTCTGCTTCTCTCTCCGGCATCGTCGGTCGGTGTCTGATTCTGGGGCATATCGACTTATACATGAGATCTGGTGCCGTGGCTGAACTCTCCTTCTTCACCGTCCTCGAAACGCGCGCCTCCAACCCTTCCGAACCTCTCGAGAAGCTTCGACGCGGCCTGGCAGACGTGCTGGCCGAATAAACTGATTACCATCTCTCACAACTCTCTCCCCACGCCCGTCGAAGCGTCGTCCATCCATTATCCATAGGCAGAGCCGACCCCCGAACCCTCCTCGATCCGATATCGCCCCCCCCTCCTCCAACAACGTCATGGCCGTCATAGACACGACCAAGGACCTGGCCGCCCTGTTCGTGCAGCAGGCGCAGGCAACCCCCGACGCCGTCGCCCTCGAGGACGAGAAGCGCACGCTGACGTACGCCGAGCTCGACCGCGAGACATGGGCCCTCGGCGAGCTGCTGCGCCAGCACGGCGTCGGCCGCGAGCACCTCGTCGGCGTCCTCATGGGCCGCAGCGCAGACTATGTCATTGCCTGCCTGGCCGCGCTGCGGGCCGGCGGCGCCTTCCTCGTCCTCGAGATGGCCTATCCGCCGGGCCTGCTGCGGGACGTCATCGACGATGCCAAGCCGACCGTCATCGTCACGCAGAGCGCCCTGGCCGGCAACATCAAGGGCAACAACGTGCCGGTCCTCGTGGTTGACCAGCCGCTGCCGCCGCCGCCGGCGGGGTCCGCGCTCGAGGAGCTCAAGCCGCCGCTGCCGGACGACGAGGACGTCGAGCGCCTCGCCTTCGTCTCGTACTCGTCGGGCACCACGGGCCAGCCCAAGGGCATTGCCAACCCGCACCGCGCCGCCGTGCTGTCCTACGACGCGCGCTTCCGCCTGCGTGATCTGGGGCCCGGAGACCGCGTCGCGTGCAACGTCTTCTTCGTCTGGGAGATGCTGCGGCCGCTGCTCCGCGGCGCCACGGCCGTCGCGGTCCCCGACGCCGCCAGCTACGACCCCGTGGCCCTTGTCGACCTGCTGGCCGCGCGCCGCATCACCGACACGCTCATGACGCCGACGCTGCTGTCCACGGTGCTCGCGCGCCACCCGGCCGCCGGCGCGCTGGCCGAGCAGCTGCCGGGCCTGCGGTCGCTGTGGCTCAACGGCGAGGTGGTGCCGACGGAGCTGGCCGCGCGCGCCGGCGCCGCGCTGCCGCACACGGCCCTGTTCAACGTCTACAGCGCCAGCGAGACGCACGAGGTGGCGGCCGGCGACATCGGCGGCTGCCTCGGCGCGGGCGGCCCCGCCGACGCCGAGCCCGGCGGCGTGTGCCCCGTGGGCCCGCCGCTGGACCCGGAGCACACGTACATCCTCGACGAGGCCGGCAACCGCGTCGGCGTCGGCGAGGTGGGCGAGCTGTACGTCGGCGGCGACATGCTGGCGCGCGGCTACCTCAACCTGCCCGAGACGACGGCGCGGGCCTTCCAGATGGACCCCTTCGACGCCCGGCCCGGGGCCCGCATGTACCGGACCGGCGACCTGGCCCGGCTGCGGCCGTCGGGCCGGCTCGAGATCCGCGGCCGCGTGGGCGGCATGATCAAGACGCGCGGCTACACGGTGCAGCCGGCGGCCGTCGAGGCCACCATGATGCGCCATCTGGCGGTGCGCGACTGCGTGCTCGTGGCCCGCGGCGAGGGCCTGGGCCGGCAGCTCGTCGCCTACGTGGTGCCCGACGCCCGCGACGCCGAGCGCAACCGCACCGTCGTCGTCGTCGACGAGTCCGGCTACAGCCCCGTGGCCCGCCGCGCGCTGTCGGAGCACCTGGCCCACTACATGATCCCCTCGCTCTGGGTCGAGCTCGACGAGCTGCCGACGCACAGCGTCTCGGGCAAGACGGACCACAAGGCCCTGCCGCCGCCGCCGACGCCGCGGACGCCCGCCGTGACGCAGGCGCGCGAGCACGACACCAAGATCACCGTCGACGCCATCGTCAAGATGTGGGCGGCCTCGCTCAACATCCCGGCCGCCGCCATCTCGCCGCGGCACAGCTTCTTCGACCTCGGCGGCCACTCGCTGGTCCTCGCCGACCTCGCCGGCCGCCTGACACGCGCCTTCGGCTTCCCCGTGCCGCTGGCGCCCCTGGCCGGCTCCCCGACCCTCGACGGCCACCTCGCCGCCGTCCGCGCCGCCCGCGACGGCCACACGGCCGCCGTCCAGGCCGACCTGCCGGCCGTCCTCGCCGCCGACTGCGCGCTGCCCGAGGACGTGCGCGCCGCCGGCCCCACGCCCATGCGCCGCCTCGACGAGGCCGACACGGTGCTGCTGACGGGCACCACGGGCTACCTGGGCGCCTTCCTGCTCAAGGCCATCCTCGAGAGCACGGCGGCGCGCGTGCTGTGCCTGGTGCGCTTCACGGAGCCGTCGGGCGACGCGCGGCCGGCCGGCATGGCGCGCATCCGCAAGAACCTCATCGACCTGGGCATCTGGGACGACGCCATGCTGGACCGCATGGAGATTGTGCCCGGCAACCTGGCGCGCAACCGGCTGGGCCTGTCGCCCGAGGCCTTTGACGAGCTGGCCTCGCGCGTCCACGTCGTTGTCCACGCCGCCGCCACCGTCAACCTCGTCTACCCCTATGCCGCGCTGCGCAGCGCAAACGTCGGCGGCACCCGCGAGATCCTCCGGCTGGCGGCCCGCGGCGGCGCCACGGTCCACCACGTGTCGACCAACGGCGTGCTGCCGCCCTCGGCCGAGGGCTGGACCGAGGAGGCCATGCTCGACATCGCCGCCGTGCCCGACAAGCTGGCCGACGGCTACGGCCAGACCAAGTGGGTGGCCGAGACGCTCGTCTACGAGGCCGGCCGCCGCGGCATCCCCGTCCGCGTCTACCGGCCCGGCACCATCAGCGGCCACAGCGTCACGGGCTCGACAAACACCTACGACCTGCTCAACGCCATCATCGTCGAGTCGCTGCACCTGGGCTTCGCCCCCAAGGTCGACGGCTGGCTGGCCGAGATGACGCCCGTCGACTTCGTCAGCAAGGCCATCGTCGCCCTCGCCAGCCACCCGGACCCGGACCCGGACCGGCGCCTCTACCACGTCGGCGACCCCAAGCCCGTCACCGCCGACGAGGTCTTCGACAGCCTCGCCGCCCTGGGCTACCCGACCGAGAAGCTGCCGTGGGCCGACTGGGTGGCCCTGTGGACCGAGCGGCGCGGCGCCAGGGGCGGCGACGACCCCTTTACCGTCGACATTCTCCGCGGCGGCATGCCCACCGTCGACACCCTGCGCTGCGTCACCGTCCTCAACGACGCCGCCACCCGCCCTGCCCTCGAGCAGTGCGGCCTCGAGCGGCCCAAGATTGACGCCGCCCTGTGGGAGACGTACGCCCGCCACTTTTACGCCAGGGGCTGGCTGCCGCACCCGCCTCGCCGCCTCAACCGGGCCAACGGCGTGCTCCCCGGCGTCAACGGCATCGCCGCTGCTCGCAAGGGCCGCCTCGCCGGCAAGGTCGCCGTCGTGACGGGCGCGTCGTCGGGCATGGGCGCCGCCGTGGCCTCGCAGCTCGCCGCCGAGGGCGCCCACGTGGTCCTCGCCGCCCGGCGCCGCGACGCCCTCGACGCCGTCAAGGCCGACATCCTCCGGTCGCGGCCCGGCGGCAAGATCGTGGCGCGGCCGACCGACGTGACCAGCCGCGAGCAGGTCGAGGCGCTGATGCGCACGACGACGGAGACGCTGGGCGCCATCGACGTGCTCGTCGTCTGCGCCGGCGTCATGTACTTCACCATGATGGCCAACGCCCAGGCCGACGAGTGGGAGCGCACCGTCGACGTCAACTGCAAGGGCCTGCTGCACTGCCTGGCGTCTACGGTGCCGGGCTTTGTGCGCCGCGGCCGCGGCCACATTGTCGCCATCTCGTCCGACGCCGGCCGCAAGGTCTTCCCCGGCCTCGGCGTCTACTCGGGCTCCAAGTTCTTCATCGAGGCCACCCTGCAGGCCCTGCGCCTCGAGACGGCCGGCTCCGGCCTGCGCGTCACCTCGGTCCAGCCGGGCAACGTCAACACGGACCTGCTCGGCCTGTCGACCGACGCCGAGGCGCTGAAAAAGTACGGCGAGCCGACGGGCGCAAAGGTCCTCGACGCCCACGACGTGGCCTCGGCCATCATGTTTGCCCTGCTGCAGCCCGAGCACGTGGGCGTCAACGAGGTCCTCATCGAGCCTCGCGAGGAGCCCGCCTAGATTCGTGCTGGCAGTCTTGGCTTGTCGCTCGTGATTCAACATCCGTCACGCTCCCCCGAGGAGCCAGAGTGGCTGTGAGGCCCTTGATGTTCTTTTCAAGAGGATTAATCCGCTGTTTGCGCACGGAACAGGAGTTTAGTTGAGGTGTGGTAGCATTGATGTCTGAAGGCATAATTCCAGGTTACGGGGCAAAGGAAAAGGGGCAACTCAAAGACCTTGGCCGCCGGCGCGAGCATGCATTGTGGGGTAAATGTTCAACAAGATAGACAACCCGAGTACACACTATAGCGTTGAAAAGCACCAACGAAGCTCATCTGCCATTTGCGTGCCACCATGGCGGGCACCCTCTCCGACGCCGGGACGGACTCGGAGGAGATGGAGGCGCAGAGGTCGACGCCTGGCGCGAGGGCGCTCAGTCGCTGTGCCGTGACGTCGCCCAGTATGTCTCTCAGAGCCGTGTAGTCGTCGGAGTCGAGGATCGTCTCTCTCTCGCTGGCGGACATCGAGCGGAATTTTTAGACCGACTTCAACGTCTGTTCGATGACGTGGCGGGGGGCCATCTAGGTCTGGCGTTCAGTCCGGGATAGAGGTAGGCGAGCTCTCGTGTCATCTCGAGGGCGGCCAAGGCATTGGCCTGCTCCTTTCCGAACTCGCTAATATGCTCTGGCCGCCTTTCGGCAGCAGCGTAACCGAGGAATGGTAGGGTTGCGGTTTCGCGCGTCTCTTGGTGAGCTTCGGGTTGAGGGCGGGCTTGCCGTGGCGAGCTTTTAAGCATATATAACGCCCTATGCCAATCCTCGTAGTGGATGCCGAAGGTGAGAACCGCGTCGGGGTCTTCGCCGTCCCCGACCTCCTGGCAGAATAGCGCTGGGGTACTCAGCACCAGTCGAAGACAGATCGCGAAGACGGCAAGGATGGGGTCGATGTCCTCTAGGGACACCTCCTCGTCCGGCTCCGCGAGAGTCCCGTTGACGCCCTGGACTTTGACGAGGACGGTCGGTGCGTCGACATCCGCGGCGACCATGTCGAGGAGCCACTTGGCCGTCTTCTCCAGTGAATCGCTTTGCCTGGCAGAAGCTCGCTCAATCGGACTTGTAGGCTGCAGCATATACCATGTTCTCTCGCCTCGCAACTTGGCTTGTATTCATGTGAGATCCTCGCCGCGTATGAATCCATGCCCCCCCGGCCAGACATACATGCGTCACGTTGTCAGGCTTCATGGTGTCATTCATCGTCCATTATGCGGCTTCAACTTGCAGGCCAGACCAGCAAACAAAGACGGCGCATATATCCAACACAAGAGGTATCCCGAGAGCACATTATGACCACAAAATCAAACATCACCACAGACTCCCCTCCAGCCACAGCGTGGTAGCAGCATTGCCGCCGTCATCACACGTCGTCCATGGCCAGCCCGTCGTCGTCGTACTCCATCACCTCCTCGACGGCAACAACGCTGTCGTTCTCTCTCGCCGCCTCTCGCTGCGCACTGCGCGCCGTGATGAAATTCTTGTCAGGCCGCAATGAAGCCCACATCGCTGGCTGCACAATGGCCACTGCCGCCTCGCCCGCCACCTCCGTCTGCATGACCTTCAAGAAGCAGAGCTGCCGCGCCGCCATGCGCCACGTAAACTTGATATGGTTCCAGTGGTATTTGAACGTTGCCGAGGCCTTTAGCAGGTTCCACTGCCCCAGGTCGGATTTCGAATCCTCCATGAGCATCTGTACTAGTTCCGACGACATCAATTCTTCGGCAGGCTTGATGTTAAGCCACATTTCCCAGACTTCCTTCACTTTGGTCGCGTAATCACTCTCTCCCTCTTCCTTTCTACTCAATCTTTGCCGCCACGTCTCCAACACTGCGTCAATGTCCTTGCGCAGACCCTTTAGGAGTTGCTTGACCAACTCCGACGTCTTGCCTCTCTCATCGAATCGATTGTACATCTTCGTCAGGTCAATGTCGAAGTTTTCTCCGCCGGGGGAGAAAACCTCCTCGGAAAAGGTCGTCAAAGCGCGTTGGATTACCTTCTCGGCTACTTCAAACTTCAGGAAATCTAGAATGTGGTTCCCGCCATTCATCCTGTTATGATCCGGAATCCTGTCTTCAGAGTAGTGCGGGTTGTCGAGGCGGCTTGGCCAGTGAAAATCTCGTCGCAGTTTGTCCCAGTCGTCCATCTCGAAAATGATGCCCTGTTTGCTTTGGTCCACGAGATGACTGACGAGATGGCTCAAAATGATAGCCGCGCCGTCCCCGACAGTGTTTCTCTTGTAGCACAGTTTCTCTTTGTATTTGGTGCATTGTCCGAGCAGGGACGGCCGCATGTTGAAGAGTAATCCGATATAGACGAACTTAACGCTAATTTCGTCGTCACTCCTCTGCCCAGCCCCAATGTCCTCGACGGTCAAGTCCAACTTCTTGAGGTATCCCCTCTCGAAGAGATCAGGGCACTCGGGAACCGGAGCGTTGCGGAAGTTGTCGACAATGTTGCGGTCCCAGGTTAGCCAACAGCGATCTCCGTCGAAGTCTCCCCCGCTGAGCATGGTGGCGAGAGACTTCTTCCCCTTGGTTGAGAATACAATGACGTCTTTGAGTCTCCGTAGCTTTGGGTGGGAAACTGCCCGCACTTTTTGAACGTCGCTCGGCAGATGAGCTGGAGCTCGACCAACTAGCAGATCCATACCTTCCAATAGTACATCGCAAAACCCATCGACTTGAAATTTGGACGAGAATGAGACATGTACCTCTCCTTCCTCCAGTGTCGAGGTGAAATCTGCCACCATGAACATGTACGCCGAATGCGGTACCTTAACATGTGTCTTGGTCTTTAATTGCTCGGCTCGTTTCTTGGCCAGATCGAAGAGTAGAGTCTGAATGTATTTGAGTTGTCGATGATGAAAGCCAGCATCCAAGAGGAAGGCGATGGCCTCCTCGTCTGTTCTTGGTAGCCCGGCTAGGCACGGGACAACCCCATGAAACACGTTTCCCGTCCTCGACCCCCCTGTTTGCCGCAGCCATAGACGTAAGTCGGCTGGATGGCCCAGCGCTGCCGTCTGGGCGTCAAGTTCGGCGACAAGGCCATTTTCGAGGTGTTCCTTGATGGCACGACGCATGGCCCCTCGATCCCAGGCTTGCTCTTCGAGCACGGGGATAAACTGCTGGTTCAAGGAAGCGGGTCTCACTTCGCGGGGCCAGTCCTTTACCTCGAAGCATCGATGATGAGGATCCTCAAAGGCACAGTCCCATTTTGTCTGCGAGGGGTAAATCTCGATCCAGTCGTCTTCCTCAAGGCCGTCGTCTTCAACGTCGATGATCCACATCCCTTTTGCGCTTCCGATCCTGGCTTGGTAGCCCGAGGGTACGTAGGTCAATCCAAGGCACGTGGCCACCTTTCTGGCGAGGCTTCGAGACATGCGGCCGATGCCGTCGTTCATTGTCTCATGCGTCCCAACGTCTCGGTCGCGGCAAAGGATCTGGTGCCGTTTCAACACCACGGTTGGCCAAGTTCGAGACAAGCCTAGGTGAGGATTAGCAGCAAACACTAATTCGACTAGGGGAACGACTTACTGAGCGCAAGCCGAGCAAATAACTTTGGAATCGGCTTCTTTGAGTTGCGCTGAATTTCGATTGCCCAGTCCAACAGCCTGTGAAGCGGCATCTTCGAGCGTCTATTCGGTGTGCGTGCCTCTTGCAGTGGTGGGACGCCGCTGCGAGGGTCTGGCATTCGAAAGATGTTGCCATCAGAGGCAAAGAAATAGACGCGCTGGAGGTATTGGGATTTTCCTGCTGCCGACTGGCAAGTCTTCTTGAACTCGCGCGTGAAGAATGGAGTCCAATGACGCCCAAGGAAGTAATGAGTGCTCGCTGTCAGCCAACGGATTATCCTCTCGGCACAGTTTGTATTTTGCTTGTACGAAGCCAACTCCTCTTGCGAGGAAAGCGGTGATGGCATGACTATCTCCAGGAAACGATCAGCGCCGAAGCGGCGGTTCAACCGGTGGCCCAACTCTAGTCTTAAAGGGTTCAGCCGGAACTCGTAAAACGACCCTGTGTCGCTGGAGCGAGGGACGAGTTCGGCCGAAAGGGTGACGGCTTTGACGTCGGACTGGAATCCGTCCAAGGCGAGCGTATATGCTTGCTCCTCGCTCCGTACAGGAAGGCCTTTACCACAAAAGGGGCCTTGGTTGACGTGCATTGCCCGCAGGCTTGTTTGGTTGTGCCATTGTTGGTTGGGTTCATAGGTCAATTCATACTCTGCAGCTCCAACGCCGCAATGTTGAAGAAATCGTGTCACCTCCCAAATGACGGCAAGCGGAGCCTCGTTGAGGCCTGGAACGGGCTGCTTGGGCCACGTGATCCTCAGTCGCTGCTCCAACCCCTGAGGCGCGCGGGGGTTGAAGAAGGAGTCGATGTGACGCCCCGGGTGCGCGTCGTACTTGGCCAAGAGTTCGGCAAAGGCTTGATACTGCTCGTTGCTCATTGGATAGGCGTCGGCCGCTTGGTCTAAGAAATCATCGTCCAAGGTCGTGTCGCTGCTGGCGAGTGCAGAAGCCTGACCGGTCGAGAACACGTTATCTGCCAAGGATGATTTTGACAGGCCATTGGTTTGCATCGAAGTCGAAGTCGAAGTCGGTGGAAAGTACGAGTGAATAGTCTCGTCCGGCCTTGGAGATGCTCCAGGTGGCGGACGACAGCCAGGTGGGCTGATCCTGGATCTGACGGGCAATTCGTCCACCAGCCCGTTTTCTCGACTTTTGGGCCGCTTGGCCTGCGAAATAGAAGCCTCATCTGACAGTCTTTTGGGTGGTTTTGTCCGAGCGAGCGGCGGGCCATCCGACAAGATGTCGAGCAGACGACCCTGAAGTGACGCAGCCGAGGATTGGGGGCCCGAGCCAGTGACGCCGAAAGATTGCCAGACGGAGCGCCGCTGGGCCCGATGAGCCTCTGTGCGAAACTTGCCAAGGCAGCTCGACAGTTGGTCTCCCCTGTTGAAGTGCAGGAAGCGAATGCGGTGATAGATGGCGTCGACGCGTGCTTCGTCTTCTGTTTGCGCCAGCCTTCTTCGCTTGCTGGGAGACAGATGAGGATTGAGATTGCGAATGCCCAGGCCGTAGTTTTCGTTCAGGCCGCCAATGATCCTAACGAGCTCATCTTCGGTTGGATTGGCCACCAGCATGGCGCCGTCTGCCGTTGGAGACAGGCGGCGAAGACAGGGGCGCCGCGGCGGCGCGTCGCGAACAGAGGCCGCCTGGTGGAGGGCGCCCCTCTGGTTCCGCCCCAGCAGGGCAACTGACGATTGAGGGGGGAGCGTGCGGGAGCTGCCGAAGCTAAAGATGCCGGCCCTAGTGCGGATGGCTGGAGCTTCTGGTGCAGCACTGTAAAGAGGCGGGAGGGGTGAAGAGACAGGGAGGGGTAACTTAACTTAACTTGGGGATGGCTCTGGAAAGAGAGACAAAGTGGGATGAGAAGCGCCATGGCACGTGACAACGCAACACTGCGCAAATATGGTGTTGTCTGGCAGAACCCGCACTGTACATTCTGCCCACCAGTCGGGTCCAAGCACTGTGCGAGATACCGCTGCCGCTGCTGACTTGCCGCTGCTCCTCACGCCGAGGCGGCCGTTTTGCAGCCGTTTTGTCCAGCTCGCTTTGCGGCGCTGCCTTGGCTCATCTCGACTCAGCTTCACATAGCTGGTACCTGGACGCCGCTGAAACCATCCAAGGCAATGCTGCTGCTTGCGAACTCGCCCTGATCTGGTCTCGCCGGCCCAGAACGCACCTCTGTCTCGACCATGGCCGAGAATCCCGAGTCCGATGAGCTGGTGGCCGTCGACGAACTCACCGCCGAAGAAGCCAGCCGCATAATCCATTCCCATCGCAAGGTTCGCTATGGTCAGTCTTGCTGGACAATGCCCCATTCAGCCGCACGCCCCGTCGCTGACCTAGTCTCCAGGCACCGCGTGTTGGCCCTGTCGCCAACGCAAGGTAAAGTGCGACAACAAGCAGCCGTGTGAGAATTGCGTCAAGAGGGAGCACCCGCAGCTATGCTCTTACAAGCCCAACCGCTCCACGGCAAACAAGCATGCCCCCGCCTTGTCGCAGCACGTCTACGGTCGCAAGCGAGCCCTCTCAGCCTCCGACGGCGACGAGAGCCGCAAGACTGAGCGCCAGGACAGCTGGCCGCGCGCAATAGGTGAGTCGCAATTCCGCCCGCGCCCGCCGCAAATCCTGGGTGACCGCTCACCGGGCCTGTCAGCCAATCTGGACGACTCCGAGTCTGTCGGCGACCGCTACCTCGGCCAGAACAGCATCCCCGCCCTCCTCCGCGAGCAGTCGTCGCCCAACGACAAGACCGACAATGTCGATATCCGCCGCGACATGCGCTCCATCCTCGGCCTCGACACGTCGGCCCCGTTTCCCCTCATGTCGTCGCTGCATCTTCACCGCCTGGCCCAGGACATCTCGAATGAGCTGCCGTCTGACAGAGAAGTCGTCAAGTCAGTGCCCTTGCCGCATTGAACGACGCTGCGACTGACTTGCATTCAGACTCTTCCGCACTTACAAGGAGATCCCCCAACCCTTTTGGGGCTTCGTTTACGACATGGATGACCTCGAGTCCCGGCTGATGGTGTACTTGGAAGACCGATCTCGCAACGCGTCCAGCACCGTGAGGTCATCCAGGTCGGTCACGGCGTCATGGCTGGCCATCCTCTTTGCCGTCCTGGCCGTTGGGTCCCAATACCACGAGAACCCATACCACATCCGCACCAGGGACTCGCAAAAGTACATTCAGATTTCGTTTCACTTTCTGCGCGTGGGCAACTTTCTCCTGAGGTGCGCACTCTACCCGCATCGTCTCTTCTGCGCCTGCTCTCGCTGACATTGCACCTTAGGCCGTCTTTCGACTCAATCCAGGCCCTCCTCCTCACCAGCTTTGTGCTGCTTAACGATATGAAGGCCGAGGCTTCATGGGCTTTGACGGGACTGACGTGCCGCCTCGCGCAGTCTCTGGGCCTACACCGCCCCAACACGTACGACGGCCGCGAGAGCGCACCGCCCAACGCAAAGTCCAAGGAGATGATTCGGCGCAAGCTTTGGTGGACCTGCGTCTGGCACGATACCCTGACCTCGCTGTCCTTTGATCGGTAAAGCGCCCCATTTCTCGTTGCAGCCCGCCCTCCTTTCTCCTATCAAGACCTCCTGTATTGACCGGCTCGTGCCAGTTGCCCCATGACCAACTTCCCGAGCTGTTCCATCCCCGAATCGTCTACCGGCAGCTACACATACCTAGAGATGATGTACCACCTCATCGAAATCATTTCACGTCGGCTCAATCCCGACGCCACCGCCACCTCGTCGTATCGCCAGATTGCCGACAACTGCGAGGCCGTGGAGGCTCTCCGAACCCGGGCCCGCGCACACATGAAGGACAAGGAAAAGTGCAAGACGGCGTTGGATCGTCTCCAATATTACGCAATCCGCCTGCATACGTCATTCGTCATCTCCGTCGCCTGCCGCCCGGCGCTGAAACGAGACTGCGATCTTGATCCTCGACAAAAGAAGGAACTGGCAGACCGGTGCAAGGAGAACCTGCTGGAGACGGTGCGGATGTTCTTGGCTATGCACCAGCTGTCTGTGATTCCGACGAGGACTTGGGCCTTTACCTATCATGGTCTTTCCTCGGCCCTCTTGCTAGGAATTTTGTGCGAGACCAAGGCAGATCCCGAGATACGGCAGCTACAAGGGGACCTGATTGCCGCCCTGTCTGCCACGGCGGCAAAGGACGCAACCACACCCGAGCCCCACGTGCCCAAGACCGACAAGGACATTGAGCTGTCCGGTCCGCTGTGGCGAGCGCTCACGGCGCTCAAGAATATCTACGACCACGGCTCAATAGCGGGCTCCAGCTTGAAGCGAGAAGGCGACTCGTCGGCCGGCGCGAGCGGAAGCCGGACGCCGCTGCCTTCGTTCAATGGCCAAGGCTTGGCAGGGCCGACTTCACAGCTTCGCGGCGCTCAGGCCGGTGGCAATCCTCGGGAGGATGCCGCCTTGGCCATGGCCGAGATGCAGAACGGAGCATCTCTGTCCGATTTCTCAGGGTCAGACGATCGCCCTCCTTGTTTCCGCTTTGGCTGACCGTCCCGCAGAATTCCATTTACGCAGCCCATCCCGACGACCATGGGCCTAGACGGCATGCCTGGCTTGAGCATGGACCAAACGCAATATATGGCGCCCATGGATCTTTACGACTCCATCTGGGGCGGTAAGTGGAACGCCAACCGCGACCCTGCGGCCCGAGCTGACGTACCAGAATCCCCCGATCCCTGGAGCTCGGGCATGGATTCCATGAGCTTCGACTTTTCGGCGCAGCCGCCGCCAGGGCAGCCGCAGCAGCAGTTTTACTTTTGAATGTGTCGACGTCTTGGGGAGATATCGGGGTGGGGAGTGGCACCACTCGATGCCTCTTGGGGAATAATATCTTTTGATCCGTATTTTTGTATCATTTCAGCGAGGGAGCAACGGCGGGAAACAAATGGCTTACTGCGCGAATGGCGTTGGGGAATGCCCCGTGTGGGTGGATTCAATGTTTGTGGAGTTTTGGCTACGTGATGCAATGGCTCGGCGAGATATTGGTTCGAGATTTTGACTACAAGGGCCTATGACGCTCCAGCGAGACAGAGGTGCAGGCCCAGCCCACATGTGTGACACAAAAATATCACGGTGAATGTCGTCAGGGCTCTCTTTGATCATCCAATCGCCCGTGGGCGTTCAGGTCGCATCAGGCGCCCCTCGCTGCCCAGAGGTTCCAGTGCCGACTCGGCGCTGGAGCCTTCTGGGCTGAGGGGGACCTTGTAAGCGACGATCTAGGCTCATCATCCGACAAGAGGGGCAGGTCAGTTGATTGACGAGAGGCTCTCTGCACTTGCGAAGCCAAACACTGTTTGGGGGGAGCGAGGAGGGGGGGTGTTGGAAATTCCTGTCAGTCGTCTAGGCCACGCAAGCGTTTTGCGAGGCGCATTTCCCCCCCTTGCCATTGCGCGGCCGATTTCCTTTTCGATGAAACTTTTTTGGCCCTTTTTTTACTTTATTTTTCATTGGTCGTCGTCCTGTCATGGACTTCTACTTCTTCCGCCGCGATGTGCTCGACACAATCTTCTTCTTAACGTGCTTGGGCATCTTTTCCTTGCGCTTCTCGCGCTTGGCCTCCTTGACTGCTTGCTTGTGTTGCTGCGAGGAAGCGACATGTTAGTCAACCGACACTGGCAAAGGGAATGGGAAGCATGCCTTCTTCTCCTCCTTGTCTTCGAAGCGGCGCCCCCTCGGCTGGCCCTTTTCGAAACGGCTGTCATCGTCGTCGCCGTCGCCAGAAAGGGCGGCACCAGAGTCGGAGCCCGAGTCTTCAGACGTGTCGTCTGTGCTCTGCTCTTCATCCGCCGGCTTGCCGTTCTCCTGGCGGCTTGGGGTGGCGACGACTTGATCGGCCAAAAGGTTCTTGTACACGAGGTCGTCTCCCTCCCCCCTCGTCAGTTTCTGAGCATCTTTTTCCATGTCGTAGACCTGCTCCAGCGTCTGCGGGATGTACTGGTTGCGAAAGACCTCGTTGTCCACCTCAAACTCTGCAGCCTCCTGCTCGTCGCCCGCCGCCGCAGAGTGCCGCGTGTCGTAAAGGCGCTCAAAGGCCTCGGGCATGGCGGGCTCCTCGACGGGGCCGGCCGGGGCCGTGATGAAGTCAAAGACGGCACGGTCGGGCAGCGTGTCGACGCCCTTGCGCCGGAAAAAGTCGCCAACGTTCTTAATGTCCATTCGCAGGAACTCGAGAGAGCGCGGGTGATCCGGCTCGACGCTCTGTGACACGTCGATGATGTAGAGCTTGCCGGCGTGGTAGAGAATGTTGTACTCGCTCAGGTCGGCGTGGACCAGCCGGCAGACCTGGTACATCTTGCGCATGGCGGCGGCGAGCTGGGCGTAGAGGCCCCGCCACCGCTCGTCGGCGTCGTCGCCCTCGATGACGGCGTCGCGGAGCTTGGGATACGCCCAGCCTTTTCGGTCTCCGAGGAAGCCCATGACGAGCACGTGCAGCTTGAGGCTGATGGGCTCGGGGCAGGGGATGCCGGCGTTGTAAATTCGGCGCAGGTTTCGGTACTCCTTTTCCGCCCACAGCTTGACCATCTTGCGGTTGTTTCCCTTGTCGAAGCCGCCCTTGAAGCGGTGCTCGCCGGTAATGTACCTCTCGCGGTCCTTGAAGACGAGAATGGCCGTCTTGTAGACCTTGATGGCCCTGGGTGTCGTCTCGCCAGTGCCATGGTCGTGCAGCACGGCGCCGTAGACGTTGGCCTCCTTGCCGGTGCTGATGGCGCCGTGGACCTCGCTGACGTAGCCGCGGTTGATCATTTGCAGCAGAATCATGCGCGTGCGCTGGTCCAGGACCTGCTCGCTCGTCGCCCTGTCGGCCTTGTCCTTGTCCCTGTCGTCGTCGCGCTTGACCGAGTCGAGGCGGATCTTGGCGGCGTGCTTGGAGAGGGCCGAGACCTGGTCGTCGATGCTGGCCAGAGTGTTGGCCTTGGGCTTCTGCTGGTTCGACCGGGGCACGGCGACGCCGCCTCCGCTGCTGCTGCTGCTGGTGTCGTGGAGCTGCCGCTGGCGGTTGTACGACTTTGTAAGGTCGGCGGCGCTGGAGGACCACTCCTCCTCGTCCAGGTCGCCATCGTCCTCGTCGTCGAAGATGCCGTCCAGATCGTCATCCTGGTCGTCGTCGACCTGGTGCGAGTCTGGGTGAGGGGCGCCCCGGGGCATGCGAACTTCGGGAGGCACGTCGTGTATTTGCGCGCCGTAGCCCTGGTTGGCAGTGTATGTATAGGGCGGCTGATGCGGCGCGGCCGGCGAAGCGGATGCGTCCGCCATAACTGAAGTCTCTTGCCTCTGTCTTGAGGTCTGTTGCCTCTGTCTATCCGTTCAGTGGTCAAGAAAGGACTCGATTGGAGATTTTGGCTGGCGCTTTGATGATTTCTTATCGAAAAGACGACCCCGCGGCGGCTATCCATCGCCATCTTATCTATCGCTTTGCATATCTAAAAAAAAAATCATTGTAGCGGGGACTCGGAGGCGAATTGTGCGGATTGTTTACGTAAGGTTGGCCACCTACAATGGTGACTCATCACTAGCCGGAGCAAATTGGCAGTGTTCGTCAGCCTCAACGTCAGCCTCAACCTCGACACATCCTTGGCTTCCGTGTTCCAGTCATCGACAATGACTCTTGCCGCCCTGACTCCATGGTCTGAGAGTCACGAGATGGATCCAATTTCTGATCTGCCGTGGCGGAAAGTTGACGCGTCTTTGGATTCCGCATCAACTTAGCAAAGCACTGCAGATGGCGCCAACGCGAGCAGCCGTGCCGGATGACAGCTCGCCGGCGAACATCGTGGCTGGCCGTCTTGCCCTCGCCTTGTTCTCCGTGCGAGGGCGATTGGGGAAAAGACACGGGACGCCAATCTATTGAAGGGCGCATACTTTGGCCTCGTCGATGTCTCAAACCAGCCCCTTCGCCGCCGGCACCCCAGAACCCACGGGCTGGGAATACGTTGTTAGGCCTTGTTCTTCGGACCTTTGTCGCAGTTGCATCCAAGTGCATTCCTCGTTCAGGTCGCCATGCCTGGGTCTTGCGTTCCAGTTTGATCCTCGCATGAATAGATTCATCCCTCGACGCGTCGAGTTCTATAGCCAGGCCATTATTTATTCATGTGAATCCGTCCCGGTATCATTGTTCTTGCCCTCTCGCGTCGGTCTGATTCGGTGGTCGGCTTGCTCTCAACTGTTTCTTCGTGGTCCCAGTTGCTCCAGCTTGTTCCCGGGCCCCGATAGCAGACCAAAAGACGACGCTCACTCTCCATCATGAGAGTTACGCTCGCTGCCATAGCCCTCGCTTGCCTGGCTAACTGCGCCGACACCACGCCGCCAACTCAATCTTCCAGCAAGAAAGGGGGCAAACGGTTCACGCTTACCCAAGTCCACAACGACAAGTTCCAAGGTCATGATACGCCTTCGTCCTTCCTCAAAGCCCACTTGAAATACGGTCACACTCTACCGCCGCAATTATCACGAGCTTTGGACCTCAACCCGAGCCTTAAACTCAGGTTCCAGGCCCAGTTGCCTTATACAAGTACGCTCGCTGCAGCCTCCACTTCCCCCTTTCCTGTCAGAGAGCTGACACGGCGATAGACAGATCACAGAAGGGAACGATCAAGACATCCATCGCGCCCAAATATGACTCGGAATACTCAGTCCCAGTCCAGATCGGGACGCCTCCGCAGACGATACCCTTGAACTTGGACACGGGGTCTGCTGATCTGTAAGCCACTCATTTCACCCTTTGCTTTGACCCGAGTCTCGCGCTGACCTGTGCAGGTGGACGTTTTCATCGGAAACATACCCGACCGTGGTCATGAATCAGACACTATACCATCCTGAGAACTCGTCGACCTGTGAGCTGCAGAGAGGCGAAAGTTGGCAAGTCAAGTATGGCGATGGCGCCGGCGCGGCAGGCATCGTCTACAGAGACAGGGTGCAAGTGGGTGAAACCTACGTCGATGGTCAAGGCGTGCAGGCTGCCATCACGGTCTCGCCCGAAATCGCCAGGGACTCGTTCACATCGGGCATCTTGGGCATGGCAAATAGCCGTGTCAACACGGCCCGGCCCATGCAGCAGCGGACCTACATTGACAACATCAGGGGATCGCTCGAGGAACCCCTGTTCACGGCCAATCTGCGCAATCGCCGTCCCGGCAACTACAACTTCGGATACATTGATAAGTCCGAGTACACGGGCGACCTCCAATACGCCGCTGTGAACCGATACTCACCATTCTGGATGGTCACTGTGAATGGGTACCAGGTCGGCTACAACCCCCCCCTTCAGGTGTCGTGGAACGCGATTGTCGACACGGGCACGTCGCTACTGCTGCTCCCCGACGAAATTGTGCAGGACTATTATCGCCACGTTCCCGGCGCTGGGATAGATCCGAAGCTGGGGGTGGTTACGTTTCCCTGCCAAGTTCACCCGCCCGACTTCTTCTTTTACATTGGGGCCCATCGCGGCCGAATCCCAGGCGCGTATATCAATTACGGGCAGGTCAGCGAGACGTACTGCCACGGCGGGATTCAGACGGCACGGGGGCTGCCCTTTGGCGTGCTTGGCGACGTTGTGCTCAAGGCGCAGTTTATCGTCTTCAACTATAACCTGGGCCTCGTCGGGTTTGCCAACAAGAAGCTTGATGACGCTCCTGACAGCCCTCCTGAACACTAGAGCATTCCCTCACGGGATCCCCTGAAGCCCGCCGCTGGCAGCTGGCACTGAGGACTTGAGCAAGGATTTGAGCAGGCTGGCGTTGCATGTTGAGGCATTGCTCCACATATATTGGATGTCGTGCCTTGAATCACCCTGGAAGGTATGGGAGCGCGGCTTAGCATACGGACTGGATCGGGTTTCGCCATTATACATGGAGCATCACGACCATGCAAGCATTGGGCATTGCGGTGAATAAACGAGGACATATAGGCTGACTTATGATCCCGATGAATGCATAATCCAAGACTGGATAGAGTGAAGAGACGTTGCAATGGCGTCTTTGCAAAGTAGCTGTCGGACTCTGGTGCTCCCTTTCCAATCATTCCACAGCATCAGACAACGGCTTGGGCCGACAACGGCAAATCGTCTAGCGCTTACCGTCTAGCAAGGCAAGGTGCGCTGACGTCTGCTTACGGGCAATTATTAATGCTTGAAAGCCGAAGAAGCCGATGGGATCCCTGATGTGAACCAGACACGCAGGAAGGTAGTTGGCTCTACATATCCCCGTTGCAATATTGCCCAGCAAGCCAGGCGACGGTCGACGACGAAGACGAAGAGGGGAATTCTTTGACCGAAATGGATCAGCTCGCGTCGCGCCAACAGCAACTAGACGCCATGATGGAAAGCGTGCTCATCATCGGCGCCGGCGAGCTCGGTCTCTGCGTCATCGAGGCACTGGCGGCACATCCGCAGCGCAACCGCATGAAAAAGATGTCGGTGCTGGTTCGGGCCGCGACGTTGGAGTCCACGGCGGCAGCTGAGAAGCAGCAGACAGTGCAGAGGATCCGGGCACTCGGGGCCGAGTTCGAGACCGCCGACGTGGTGCAGGCGTCGGTGGCGGAGCTGGCGGGCATCTTGTCGCGGTACGGCACCGTGGTGTCGTGCTCGGGCATGGAGCTGCCGGCGGGGACGCAGACAAAGCTGGCGCAGGCGGCGCTGGCCGGGCGGGTGAGACGGTATTTCCCATGGCAGTTTGGCATGGACTACGAGGCCATTGGCGAGGGCAGCTCGCAGCACCTGTTTGACGAACAGCTCCGGGTGCGGGCGATGCTGCGTGAGGCCACGGCCGTGGAGGAGCAGGAGGAGCAGGAGGAGCAGGGAGGATCGAAGGGCGGGGGGACCGAGTGGGTGATTGTGTCAACGGGCCTGTTCATGAGCTTCCTCTTCGTCGCGGCCTTTGGCGTCGTCGACCTGGAGAAGAGGACGGTGCGGGCCCTGGGCGGCTGGGAGCAGGAGCTGACGGCGACGACGCCCCGGGACATTGGCCGGGCGACGGCCGAGGTGGTGGTGGACCCGCGGGAGATTCGCAACCAGGTCGTCTACACGGCGGGCGACACCATCTCGTACGCGCGCCTGGCCGACACGCTCGACGGGCACTTTGGCGGCGCGCCGTTTCGGCGGGAGCTGTGGGACGCGGCGACGCTGCGGCGGCAAGTGGAGGAGGCGGACGGAGGCGAGGCGGTAATGGCTCGGTATAGGGACACGTTTGCGCAAGGGCGCGGCGTGGCGTGGGGCATGGACGGGACGCTGAATGCGCAACGGGGGATGGCTATGACGGACGTGGATGGGTATCTGAGGGAGATGGGAGCCGGGGGGTCGGGCCCGGAGCCGGGGGCGGGGCCGGCGTCGGGCTGAAATGTCGAAGCGCCGAAGTACCGAAGTGGAAAGCGCGCTTACATCCATACACCACTCATACACTCATACGGGACGTAAGGAAAATTGTTCAGGCTAGGCAACCTGAGTCTAAGAGCTCTGCGCCTCCTTTCACCTCCCAGTCATTCTCTGAGATGAGACTCAGTCACAGCCGGCGGAACGTGCCATCCAGTCAACAATGTGACGGATGCCCAGGGCGCTCTGCTCAACAAAGAAGCCGCCGCACCCGAGGGCGCCACGTCTTTTGGTGTCTGCCTCGTCTCCCCACGCATGTACGAATACAGGGCCGAGACGGGAGGCAAAGTCAGTCACGAGCAACGTCGTGGCGTGGCGGACGAGGACGGGGCCTCTTGCATGGGCCTTGGACACACACGCAGGCGCCTGCAAAAAGAATGGACGGGCACATGGGCACGTAGACTCGCCTCGGCCTCTCCGGGAATCGACGGGACCTGGGCCGCGCCGCGGGGATCACGAGAAGGTTTCAGGCTTGCGATATGCAGATTATAGGGCCCACTAAGGAAAAGGGGAGCAGGGCGTGCGTGCCTGGAGCCGTGCCTGGAGCCGTGCCTTGGTCATGACGACGTCAGGGCGAGAGGGGGAAACGATTGGCGCCAGTGGGGGGCGGCGGAGAGGAGGAAGAAGACGTGTGTTGATTCCTCTGGCTGGCGTGAGGCTTGCCGGGAGCGGTGCAGCCGCTGAATCCGGCATCAAGCATATTGGAGGTATTGCTGTACAGGGATTCATTCGCGTTGGGCAGACTGATGCCCCGTCTGCCCAGTCCGGTTCCGGCTGGGGGAGCTCGGGCTGCCATGGACCAGGAGGAGGAGGAGGAGGAGGAGGAAGGACGAGGGCATGTGCTGCCTTGCAATAAGTCGAGCTCGACGCATCTACTCAGTCTAGACCAGACAGGACAGGCAGGACAGGCAGGATAGGCAGGACAAAGATTGAACAGGCGAGCACTATAGGCTGACCGCCAGCAAATAAAACAAAAACACACACACCATCAGTGCAAGTGCATAATAAAAAGTCATCTGGTCACTCACCTTGGCTGGGCGTCGAGGCCCTGTTTTACCCGGGCTGTGCTAGTGCTGCAGTGCGCTATGGATGATGCGGACAGGGAGGGGGGGCAGTGGGGAGACAGTGGAGGGACAGTGGTGGAACAGGGCACCCACTCGCTGGGAGCTTATCTGCTTATCGGCGGCAGTGCTGAATCCTCCGTGTCAGGCCTGGGTGGTGGTAAGCGACGGAGCATCCCGCGAGACTGCATCTGCAGCGGGGGAGATACTTGACTCGAAGCACGAGACTCTGAGCGCAGGCATGTACCTCTGATTCCAAGCGACCCTTCACATGGCGGGCGGCAGTGGTTGGTCAGCTTGTACCGGCTACGAGAACGGACGTATCGGCGCGCATTCCTCCCACGAAACAGCGCCGACGCCTACCAAGGGAGGGTGGAGGGTACCCGACTGCCTTGTACGGGGTACCGCGATGGAATGTGCCCAAGCCAAGGCAATGGCGCCATCATGACCGACTCAACCCTCCCCTCAACACCCAACCCTCACCCCCTCTCGGGACGGGGATACGGTACACAACCCCCCCCCCTCGGAACCGGGGATACAAGGCCAACCCGAAGCGTCCCATCCAGCGTCCCATGCCCGCGATCCGATCCGATGCTACTGTACGCTGGGGGCTGGAGACTGTGCCTTGAACCACCTCCAAGGTGACTCACGGTCATGCGCTCGCCCTCGACTCGCCATCGTGACTCCGCCGCTCGTCGGCAAGCCAACCAACGCCCCTTTCCGGTTCAGGCGTCGCAGCCATCAGCGGTGACCTTCGATGGAGCGCCGCCACCGGGGGTCCGGGGCGGATGCATAAATGTACAAAAGGGGAGGAGGAGTCTGCGAGCCTTTGTTTCTTCTCCGAGTCTTTCTAGACGCCTCCGGCATCCATCGCCCCCTTCCCCCACCTTTTTCTCGCTAGCGGGTCTCAGCCTGTCCTGTGCTGCATGCGGCAAGCCAAGCCCTTTGTCGTCATCGCCTCGGACCCCGTCCATCATCGCCATCGACCTTTTCATCTTGCCTCCTCTCCGTCCCTTTGTTCCCCCCCCTATAGCCGTCACTCCAGACTCGACTCGCTTTCTCGAGACCATCGAGCACCCGCAAACCCTACATCAGCACCTATCATCCTCCATCCGCACAACAACATGGACGCCAGCGCTGCCGACTCTCATGGTGGAGGCGTCCCCTCGTCCGTTATCCAGAACCGCCACATCCCCCGTCGGGGCGCTGTCCCCAGCCGTCGCCGCTCCTTCAATCATGTCATCCGCGCCAGCGCCAAACGCCTGGCCCAGTCTCAGGATGTCCAGGCCTGCGAGCGTCTAGGTCTCCCCTGTGCCACAGCCGACGCCGACGCCGCCACCCACCCCCGCGGCGGTGCCCTTCGTCCTCATCTCGAGACCGAGCTTCGCCGTCATTGGGGTGCTTCCCGCCCCCCGCCTCGCATGCGCTGCCGGAATCGTCCCAACCTTCCCTGCGGACAAGATGAGGAGGACGAGGGCCGCGATCTCGCCCACAGCGAGATTCCCCTGCCCAGCGATCGCTTCCGGCTCGTCCGTCGGCCTGCTCTTGAGAGGGAAGATGCTTTCCGCGACGCCGCCACCTCTGCTAGGGGCAAGGTTCGCCTCAGGCGCTCGGTGCCCGACGCCGATGACGCCCAAGTCGCCGAGCTCTACAGCATGGGGCTGCTATACGACGACGCTGATGACGCCGATGGCCAGCGGGGCGGCCGCACCCTCAGCTTGAACAGCATCTGTCATGAGCAGCCCGTCTACTCGATCCGTCATGACCGGCGGACGCGCAGGCCGTCCAAGTCCAAAGGCCCCGGCCGAGACCCCCCTCTGCAGCTGGAATTCTCCTTTTCCGATCTGGGCGACGATACCGCCATCGCCCAGTACCTGGCCGTGCCTTCTGCCCATGCCCTCGAGGCCGACGACCAAGTGATGGAACAGGCGCCTTGCCCGTCCCGGCAGCATTCATATCCCCCACTCCGCGTCATCTACGAACTCGCCGGCTCGCGGCCCACGTTTGACGTCGATACTTCGCAGCCCCCAGACCTGGTTACCGACCTCATATCCGACTACGACTGCTTCACCGACAGCGAGCTCGACGACACGCCTTCGCAGCGCGAGGTGCACGAGAGCGACGACCACGCGGCCTCGGATCCGTGGGTCATGCTAGGCGACGACTCGTAGCAAGCCGTCCGGGTTCGCGAAAAGGGACCCCGAACAACTTCAATTCGCGGAGGAACACTTCCTTTCCCTTGGATAATACACGGCGCGAAGCTCCGGCAGCTGCAGACGCCTGGAGCTCCACGTCGCCAAATCCCTCCAAAACAGCACGCGCTGTCTTGTTACACAGCGGTAATGTGTTATACCGGGGGCGCGGGTCATTGCATAAAGCGGCGTCAATATAGCGCGCGGCTTCATACTCCTTTTTCTACTTTACCAGTACCAGTCTACCGGGTATTGTTATCATCGTGGCCACGGTGGTTTTTTCGTTGGTTTTTGTTTACATTGTTTTTGTACCACGCTATTAGATTCTCTTCCTAGTGCAGCGAATGCATTCGTTTTCTCTCCTTAAACTAAGTTGTTTTATAATGGCTATGGCTGTGGATGTTGACGTTTGCGGAATGTACCTTGGGCCGCACTTGGCTGGTCGATCGAAGGACAACGCGCCGGTTTGTACTGGTGGTGAGATGAGGGCTTTCTATGGCCAAGACCCATAAGATGTGTATCAAACTAAGCAGATGCTAAGATACACCTTTGTACCCATGCCCGTCGTGCTTTGTTCCTCCCGGGCAATTGAGCGGAGCCCGCCGAGCAAAATGCCGGGTGGACCCGCTTTTCCGGAGCCGGGACCGGGAAAGACCAGGGGGAGCGTGGCAGGGTGTTGCCCGCGCACGTATGACGACAGAAGCAGCTACAGTAGGAATAAGAAGGCGTTTAGATGGCACAGTGGTAGGACTACGGGGCTGCGTCTTGTACATCATACGCTGCGTGGGAGGACAAGGAGAGGTGCGGGAATGACGGGGAGGATAGGCGGTGGCGAAGTTGGAGAAGAAAGACACCACCAGGCGTTTACATGTCTAGAGAATGGAATATAACTGAGGCTCCTGGACAGCATGAATCCAACTCGCATGTCGGATTGGCAGACAGCTCTTTGATGTAGAGTAGGTTCCGCCTGGAAACACGGTCTTCCGCGGTTAGGGCGTTCCCTGGCACGGCATCTGCTTCCTCGAGCAATCCAGTAAACAGGGTCGTCAGATGATTCCAAGATGATTCCTCGTTCGACAATATTGAGACATTAAAACATGCAACGACGAGGGCAGGTTTATCAGATGCATTGCTCTATCAGGTATGCTAAGGGGAGCAACTGCAGAGGCACCGTTCAGAGTAAAGTACAGAAACGTTGCCGTCATCGTTTCCGCTTAGCCAAGTACGTCAAATATAAGTGTTATGTACATGCATCGCGTTATGGCATCAACTCGTCGCCGGTCGTCGAGAAGATTGCTGCGTCCATCTTGCCTCCTACACAAGAACGGGCAGAAATGGGGAGGACTAGTCCAAGCAGAGGCCATCTCCGGAGCCCAGCTCGAAAAAGCGATAGTCGGGCGGCTCTCCATGTCCTGGATCCTCGCGCAGGCGTTGCTGCTGGTGATGGACGGCCTCCTTGAGGGAGTAACGGGTGCGGCGCAAAAAGGGGGCGATGAGGCCGGCGCCCTTTTTGTCCTCATCGTGCGTGGCGACCCAGTACCTGGCCCCCGTGGCGGCGACTGCCTCGATGCCGTCGAGAGCGCCGAGGTTGAGTTGCTTGGCCATCCAGATGCGCACGTCGTGCAGGCCGTGGAGGAGGGCGAGGGGGCGCAGGCCAGAAGACCGGATGCCGTCGAGGTCCCGGCTCTGGACGCCGTGGGGCGCGTAGAGAATAGCTTCTCGACTGTCGTCGTCGCCATCGTCCTTGTTACCGAGGCGGAAGGCGACGAGCATGGCCGAGTGGTAGTAGAGGCTGTTGTCTGGGGCGACGAGGCGGCCGATGGCGATCCAGTCTGGCAACGGGTCGACGGCGGGCAGGCCGGCGGGGGACCAGTCGTCGCGAGCCTGGAGCGCGGGGGCGGTGAAGACGCGGTCGAAGTGGCTCCAGCTGCGGATCAGGTCGGCGGCGACCTGGGGCGCAAAGACGGGCGTGTGAGGGGATACCTCGAGGAGCGTTGCCTGGTGGCAGTGGTCGGTAAACTCGTGGGATACGACGACGGCGTCGATGCGCGAATCGGAGCATGGCTCTGTCTCAAGCCCATCGCCGGCATCGCCGTCTCTGCCGTTACTGCTGCTCGGGGAGGAGCCCAGCTGCAGGAGAGTGCGAGCCTCGACGTCTCGCAAGGCATCGTCCAAGTCGGCCACGGTGTCGAAGCTGGGCGGGATGAGGTGCCACTGGGTGCTGAACCAGCCGGCGACGTCGCTCTGAGGCCCGCGCAGCCAGGGGTCGACAAGGATGTTGAAGTGGGTGCGGCTTGGGTGGTGACGGTGAGCTGGCCGCGGCAGCTGCAGCAGCCAGGAGGTGTCGCCGTTGAGGTGGGCCAGCAGCGGGCGTTGGCACCGGGCGCTGCGGAGGAGCAGGCTGGACCACTGCTCCCGGTCCGAGAGGTGGAAGGACCCCGGCGAGGGAGAGGAGGAGTCCCTCGTGCTCACCGGTTGTGGCTGGCAGGGCCGAGCCGCGGGCGCCGCCATGTCGGAGGAGAAGGAGGAGAATGAGGCCGCCCACGCCGCAACAACAGGAATGCCGTGGCGGATGTGGCGCCGGAAACTAAAGCAAAAGACGACTGAATGCCTGTGGATGGACACCCACGAAGCACCAGTGACCTATCGTGAGCGCCTTCACCCCGGCCTGCCTCGTGCAGCTTCTACGGGAGGGGGGACGCGTCATGCCGTCACGCCAGCGTCAGAGCTTGTCCGCCGAACGGATCGCGATGACGGTGGTGCGGAGATGACGATGACGATGACGATGGGCGGAAAGGGTGGGTGGTCAGAGAGCGGGCGGGGTCGGACGACTTCGTCGGGACTCTGCCTCGCTCGGCAGTGGCTGTTGGGACGATGGGCATCGAACCGATAGCTTCTATCGAACCCTCGCCCTTCTGGTGATGGAGCGGAGCGGTCCAAGGTCTGGTGGCCACGGTGGACTGGACAACTCCAACCTCTTCCCCGGGACTCAGGGGGTGCCCGGTGCACAAAGCCAAGAGCCCAGTTCCAGTTCTCCCCAGAATATCCTGCTTGAAAGATGCCCCCGCAAAAGGGCCTCCATCTATCACAGTGATCTCATCGTGGTCTAGTCCGCATATGGTACGGGCTACGCAATAACTCGCCCTCCCTCCCAAACTACGAAGACACTCGAGCTAAGCTCACCCCTTCCGCCCCGTGCCTCGGATGCCAGCTCCGATTCAGGATCGGCTTCAACGTCACAAAACCGGTGGTGAAGCGGGCTCAGATGATCTGCTCGCCGCTAGTTTCGGCTCAGGCTTGCTCCTGAACCCTTCTCCTCGTGCTGGTATTTTTGGGCATGGTCACGAAGAAACCGTGTCTCTCTGGCCCGTGTGCCTGCCAGACCTCTGCTCCCCGCGAGCCATGCCATTCTTCATGTATGCTGACGAGGACCCGCCATTGCTAACGTCCGTCCCCGGAGTTCCGGCTGTATCGCACCGTTGCCCACGCCCTCAGCTCGGGCTTCGGCGAACAGTTTCCATGGCCAGCTCGTGTCTGCTTTTTTGCTGTTCCTTTGGGCGGCATGCACGGCATCGAGGTCACACGGTGAACATGGGCTCGGCGAGGTGTGGACATCCATGCATGCTGTTAACTGACGGGGCTTACTTTCCTTCTTTCTTTTCACCCCTGTGCTTCTTGTTTGTTTGTTTGTTTGTTTGTTTGTTCGTGTGTTCAAGCGCTCCGTGCTGTGATTTCGACTGCGGAACTTTGCCGTCCGCCGTGTTTTATCCAAGACTTGGGTTACTTTTTCTGGCCAAATCACTTAAGATGAAGAAGACGCTGATCTTGCTTGCCCGGCTTCAATTCGTCTTCTGTCATGTTCTCGGGGGCGGGGGCTGAGACATGCGTCACCAGCCCGCATTTCTCGAGCATCGGTACTGAGAACCCTTGACCCGGTCCGCACCAAGTACTTTTCTCGCTTCTCTCTTTACTTTACACACACACACACACGGTATTTGGAATTTCTCAATATACATGGGTCATGGGGGTTTCGCCTCGAAGCTGCCAGCAGAGGGGGGGGGGGACAGCCATGCGAGGCCTGTGAGTTTGTACGACCAACATGGAGCTGCAAAAAACGGTCTCCCCCATGCACGTCGTCTACCCGCCCCTGATCTCTGCGTCGTCAACGGGCTGGGAGACAAGTTTCCTCGGCCGACGCCGGGCTCCCTTCATGTTGCTGGCACCGGCTATCTTCCGTACTAGCCTTGAAACCAGTCAGATTCCTGCTCAACTCTCACTTCTTCCAGACGGGGATCCCCCCCCCCCCCCGGTCCCACTGGTGCTCGTAGTCTAACGTCGAGCTTCCCCGGCGGGCCTTGGCGGGAGGGTAAACTGGGAGATTTGCCTGGGATTCCCACTCGGATCACTCCGTGCTCTGACCCCAGACTGGAGAATAGAGATCCTCGGACGACAGGGTTCGGCAGATTTGATGCCAAGAAACCTTTGTAGCTGGAACAACCCCTTGGTCCCCTTTCCTCTCCAGTATACATAATCACAGTAGCCCTGCCGTATGCAGGCGAGCTCATACATGCATGGATCAGACACGCACACACAAACGGCCCTTTGAGTCCCCATGCCGCCGGTGGTCGTCGCTAAACCCGTAGCGCCTGTTGGTGCTGTCGACATTTCGCATGGAGGAGGGCACACTTTGCGGGTATTCCATGTCCCGGAATGAAAATTTAGTGAGACCAAAAAGTCTCGCCAAGGGCAGCCAGTAAATGACGGCAACGCTCGATAACATGGAGCTCCCTCACCCAAATGATTCCTCAACCACTCACACTTGGCCCTAGAAGTAGATGGCCGGTCAGGGTATATTTAAAGTCTACCTATTCCCGCGGTCCCACCTCGCCCGCACGTCATGTCTTCTCTACCGGGCTCCCGTTCCCGCTGCCACACCTGCTCTGGTATATTGTCTCCCATTGTGACCCTTCCTTCTTAATTCTTCAAGTATTTGATTCTTTCGCTGTTTCCACACACGTCCCAGGCCATCATGCTCGCTTCGGCGCTCTTACTCGGCCTTGCCACGGCTGTGGCGGCCAAGAACTGCGTCGACCTTAAAATTCCCCTCTACCTCAGGTCTAGAAATGGCGTATTCGACATGGCGACGCCCAAGACGGAGATTGAAGTCACCAATTTCATACTGGACTATGCGAGAAATGGCAGAAATTACACGAACGCAGTCACGACTGGTGTAAGTCGTAACCGAGGACCAAAGCACACGCGCCAGCCCACGTTGATGCTAACGGATGAGGCGGTTTGTAGTTTAAGACGATCAAGGGAAATTACAAGCTCGCGGCAACCTACTGTGAGCCGGATTGGGGGGCCCGCGACACGCTCCAGATTGTGACGCACGGCATCGGCTTCGACCGCTCGTATTGGGACTTTCCGTACAAGAGTTACAACTATAGCTACGTCAATCGAGCCCTTGACCAAGGCTACTCGGTGCTGTCCTGGGACAGGCTCGGCATCGCCCACTCGTCTCACGGTGACCCCATCGACGAAATCCAAATCTTCCTCGCGATTGCTGCCCTCGAGGAGCTCACCAAATGGGTCAAGCACGGCAAGCTGCAGGGCGGCAAGCACAAGTACAGCAAGATGGTCCATATCGGCCACTCGTTCGGCTCGGCCATCACCCTCGGCATGACCAGCGCCAACCCCGAGCTGAGCGACGCCATCGTCCTTAGCGGCTTCAGTCAGGTCCCCAGCTTCTTGGCCCAGTTCTTGCTCGGTGCCAACTTCATCTCCGTTAAGGGCGTCGAGTTCCTCGCCCCCAAGTACTCGGAGGGGTATCTGGCCTCCAAGTCGACCGTTGGGCTACAGACAAACTTTTTCGCGCCGGGGGACTTTGATCCCAAGATCCTCGGGGCCGCGGCCATTACTGGTCAACCCGCGGCCATCGGCGAGCTCATGACTCTTGGCTCCGTATCTCCCCAGAGCAACTTCAAGGGCCCCGTCCTCATCGTCACGGGAGGTTAGTTTCTTGCCCCCCCCCCCACCCCCCACCCCTCGCCCCCCCATTACGAACAAGACGAAGCTTCTCTTCTATAATGAATTGCCGCAGCTGGCTTACACCTTGCAAATAGAAAGAGACGTTCCCTTTTGCGGCGGAGACTGCACCAAAACCGACCCAATCAACCACAGCGCTCGGGATCTGCTTCAGGCGTCCAAGAGGAACTTTAAGTCGGCCTCCGTCTTCAAGACGGTCGTGATCCCCGGCGCCGGCCACGGCCTCAACTACCAGTACTCGGCCCCTCTCACCTACAGAGCTATCCTGAACTTTATCAAGACCAACGTAAAGGACCGAGGGGGAAGACACCATTACTCCGACTCACGGGAGACATAACGGCATGGTTCGGCTAGCATCGTAAAAGAACGGGAGATCTGCGTCTGGCAGCCGGCGCGAAAGAAAGAGACCGTCGGACGAGATGTTGGTGTGAGCACAGGCAAAGGCAGCGCCAAGAATAAAAATCATACGTACAAGGAAGCTGCAAATCCGCAGCGACAGTACATCTGATGTAACGAACACATAGACGATTTAGAATTCCATTTTTTAATCTTGAGCCCTCGCTGAAAACTGCCCCATTCCCGGCGCCTACTCCCTTTACACCGACACTTGCTTTGTCTTACGGGGCTTCCCCCCTCCTTGCAAAGTCCGACCTGAGACTCCGTTGGATTCTCCCGTACTTCTTGTACTTTCCACAACGCTTCGTTGCCACCCCGAGAGACGTGGCGTCCGAGACATACAGTAACTCAAAGGGAGAGATCTTGACTCGGAACGTCCGTCTGAGATCCTTCACTCCCCTGCGCGCGAGATGATGTATTACTATCCCAAGGCAGCCACGGCCAAAATTGTGAAGAGCCTCGTTTGATGTGCATGTCTTCGCTTGAAGCTGTGGCTTGTACCTCGCGTTGAGAGGCATGAACCCAGACTTGTGCTTCGCTGTAGACTTTAGGCTTCAAGCAAGCCTGGCCAGTGGATCGAATCAAAGAATACCGATGCTGCGTTTGAGCCGTCAGCGAAGCGAGGGCCCTCGATGAAAGGACTCTCTGGCCCTGATCTCCACGTTATAGAGAGTGCCCAGATGTGCCCTGCTCCCCTGCCCAAACAAGCAGCAATCGGATCCTAAACTGCGGGGGGCGTCGACTTTACTGCCCACGACTATAGCTCTGATAATAGCGGCGGGCCGAGCATAAAGTGGCAACAACCTAGGTGCTTGTCAGCAAGATAAAGACTTATAAACTATACCAATAACACCTCCATAAGGGGGTGACCCTATTTGCTGGTGGCCAAGTGGTATTTGCTATGTTCGACAGTACTACACCCTATCCCAGGGGAAAGCAGCGGCAATTGCATATTAGGCTTATAAAAGAGGACACAAGGAAGTAACGTTTCACCCCAGGCAAGCGTAGCAGTAGTTCCCCTCGATTTGATATTGAACATACGAAGAGTTTGCCAGGATCGGCGTGATCCGGAATGCCGGTGAGCAGAGAGGCCCAAGTGCAACGCGATCTCGATACACATTAGTCGGCTTCCACAGGGGAAGCCTACGTACGGGTAATAAATCATTCCTCTGAGAGCCGCCCAAGCCGGAGAAGGACCTCTGAAAACACGGCGGAGAAAAAGAAGGCGGGGCCGCATTCTTCGGTCCCGGTCCCGGCGGTTGGGTCCCACGACAAGGTCACACCGAGTGCGCCGCGGTCCAAGGCGTGTTTCAGCGGGTACCGAGAAAGTTGGGAGATGCTCAATCCTTTGCGATATCTCACCGCAGCGCAGGATCAGATAAAGTCTTGGGCCAACGACGGAGGACTTTCAAAGCGCGGACACGGCGGCGGACTTGCACAACCAACTTATAAGGGATGGCTGCAGGCCGTTAGACCTAAAGAGGCTCCTGGCGGCAGACGAACAGAATTGGTTGGGCAAAGCGGGGTAAGGCGGACCAATATTCGGCCCGAGACGGCTCTCCAAGAAAGCCGTGATTGCGGCAAACGCGCCCTTTCGAAAACACATACTCGCCTGAGCCTCGAAATCGAGCTTGTCCCAGACCAACAAGCGACGTTTGCGCATCCTATGCCGTCCGTTACACGCCATGTCCGAACTTCGTCAGGAGATTGAAACGCTTCGACGTTTAGTCGAGAAGGAGCGACGGGAGAAAGAGCAAGAGCGACGGGAGAAAGAGCAAGAACGACGGGAGAAAGAGGAAGCCAAGGCGCGAGAAGAGCAGGAGCGGCAAAAAAGCCAGAAGACGACGCTCGAGGAATACTTATTCAACTGCCATTTCTACCTCTATACGAAACTCGCCTTCGCCGACAAGACCAAGTCCTCCATGGGACTCGCTACCCGAGTCGACAAGAAGTACTATCCTAAGAGGCTACGTCCTTGGAACGCCTTCGCCAATTCCCAGCGACATCAACAATTTAGCGAGATTAGGAGGGTCTGTGGTGAAAGTCGGCTTTTCCATCAAGAGAGCACGACCAGAGACCTGGGAGCTACCATCTCTTACGATCCGGCTGGCAACGAGAACGCTATTGAGTACTTCGAGAGGATCGCAGTTGAAGTTCCTGTGCGGGAAATCTTAGCGCCCGTATGGAACCAAAAGGGACCACGATGGGAGCACCAGGTTACGATGCTAAGATTCAGTCACAACGCCCGCGACTTCACGCAATTAAGCGATAGTCAGATTGAAGATGAGGGCCCAAGCTCAGGAAGGCAGAAGCGACAACGGCGGACTGGGACCACCATGCGGAACGAATTCTCAAGGGAAATAAAGCCGCCGCCTATGAAACCTGATGGATGGGGCATCCGTACGCACCTAGACGGTGACGAGAGCATGGCTTTTGTCTACGACTTCAAGGCAGCTCACAAGTTTGCGGCGCCATACCTTAAAGCCACACTTGCGAAAGAGAGGCTATTTATAGACGTTATTGCACGGGACAACAGCAATAAATATAAGATCGATCCCCAGCTGCAAGAGCAAGAGATTGAAGAAACACGAATTGCTATGGCGCTAACACAAGTCTTCGACTATATGGTTTGGTATGGGGTTGCATATGGTTATATTGCCGCAGGGAAGTCCTTGGTGCTCCTTCATATCGACCAAGAGGACCTACAGACATTATATTACCATCTATGCGTGCCCGATGAAGAGGTGGTCGAAGCGTTAGCCGGCGATCGGGCTGGACAGGTGCCTTATACCGCAGTAGCTCAGCTAGCCGGCTTTTGCCTTTTGAGCCTTCAATCCGAGGCTCTTAGGGGAAATTCACTCAACACGGCGTTGCAGAAGGCAAGAAAGGAGCTAAAAATATGGGGGGAGCCTTACGAGGACGCGGTGCTTTCTTTCGAGGCAGAGGGTGTCAACTCGTCGTCGCAGTCGTCATCGCAAGGGACGGATGGCTCGGAGTTCCAGTGCGTTGCAGACCCAACCAAGCGAGTATACCCACTGCGGTCCAAGTCGTCGTGCATGGCCGCGGCAGTTCGTTGCAGGAACGACAACGATGACGAGCATGGGCCAGAGGGCGGTCCATCTCGGACCCGGACAAAAACCGATACGAATGAGCGGAGCAAAGGTCCGCCGAGCGGCAGCTATGAGAATAAGGAGGCCGCGACGCCCGATCCGGGACCTACCAGGCAATACTGCACGCAGGCCTGCTTGTTAGGTCTTAAGAGAGGCTGGGAGCTCGACGATAACTGCCCCAACGTTCTCTCGCACCGCATCACTAAAGGCAGTACTCGACACCCCATCGACGCCGGCGAGTTCACCCGCCTGGTGGGTAAGCGGCTGCGCCAGAATCCATATCGAGATTGCAAAGCGCTGGACGGCCGCGGCAAGGTTGGGGCGATAGGGGTGCTCTTTAAGCTAGAGCTGGCGCCGTACGGCTATACATTCGTCGGCAAGGGGACATTATCGGATCATCTCTACCGCCTAGAGCACGAGAGCCGTATATATGCACATCTCGACAGGCTCCAAGGCGAGGTGGTGCCGGTATACTTAGACATCGTCCAACTGGCTAGGGGTTACGTCTTCCCTGGCGGGGCAAGAGTCGTCTATATGATGCTAATGTCGTGGGCCGGCGAGGTGGCCGCAGAGGCGGGGGCGCTGGACCTAGCGGCTGAGGTGAGGCGTTCCTCGCAGGCCGTCTGGGCCGAGGGCGTCTACCACGGTGACGAGCGTGAACCCAACCTGCTCTGGAACGACGAGCGCCGCCGCGTCATGCTCGTCGACTTCGACCGTGCCGCCCTCCTCCCAGCTCCCAAACACAAGCAGCTAATTCAGCTATCCCGGGATAAGAGGAAGCAGCAGAGAGACGGGTCTGGAACTCGTAGCAGGAAACGTGGTTCGCAACGAGGTCATTTGCAATTGGTGGAGTAGCATTCCGTGTCTTTCCTGTTTCCGCTTCTCGACGCCGTACTGTTCCGGCTGGCGGGACTTGGAGCTTCGTCCAAAACAACCAATGTATTGAAGTGGAGGATAGGCCTGTTTATTTCCAAGTTGTTGTCTGGCCTTGGCCTCATTTCTGTCTAAAGGGAAACTGTTTGCGGCCATGCCAGGCTATATTTATCCAGCAGAACACACCAACTTTGGCTTGATCATCAGTGCTCAAATGGGGTCTTGACTGATTGGTAAACCCGCGGACTGAATTGCACCTCGAAGCGTACTGGACTGGAAACACGGCAGGCTGAACTGCGCTTCGAATGGGGGTTTGATTGGCACGTCAGGCGCCGCAAGCAGCAAACAGGAATTTATGTTTGCGTCCCCAGTGTGAGGGTGTCGTATCGAGATCGAGCTATGTTCTTTAAGCTGATATAGGATACGTTAGCTCTAGATATAAGATATAGCATAAGGAAGTAAGAGAAAAACAGAAAGTAGCTTATATATATATAAAGAGTAAAATAAATATATATATATATATAGTTATATAACATCTTTAACAAGTATAATGTTAGGCAATGGCAATGTCGGCGAGGCGGCGCATCGACTGACGCGGCGGCTCGGCAGCATCTCGTCCATTTCTACCCTGGCGCCCCCCCGACAGCAAATACAAGGGTCATTCTTAGTATCGGGGGCCAAGTCTTCACCTTTCCCGGCCTCGATGCTCACCTATACGGATGCGTTGCTGTTCTACGGGGCCATCTCGACCACGTTGATGCGGTTGTGCAAAGGGACGAGATTCGCACGAAAGGGTCGAAAAAATAATAATATCCCTGGATAGCATGGCATAACAGACAGCAAAGGATGAAGTTGTGTGATAATGGCTTAGAAGTGGGCTACAGAGCATCGGGGTATTGGCCATCCGATTTCGGAGTCAAGAGAAACGGGGTATTTCCAAAGGTCGCAGCCGGCTACATGCCACGCGGCATCTCGGCATAGAAGATCATAGAGATGGAGGCATGTAGGGATAAGTTCAAGAACGGGCGATACCACATCCGCGGGACCAACCAAACATGAAGAAGAGATACGAGAACGCAAAGACAATCCCAACAAACGGGCGGCTCGAAAAGGACCTTCGGCAGTATTATCGAAAGTCCCGTTTCTATCATCATCCCAAGTAGGAAATCGAGGAGCAGCTTGCCCAGGACGGTCAGGACGATGGCGATAATGCTTACACGGCGGTGTTGATCGACATTTAACCTATATCTAAGTAATTCTCGAATTGATAGTATTGTATTTATAAGCGACCTCTCGATTCGGCTGAGTGTAGCCTCTAAGCCAGCGCGACCGAAATCTCAGTTGATCAACGGTTGCTCCCTTTTATTTGACTGGCGATGATGATCTCCTGCGGTGCCACCACGGTGTGTTGACTTCAGACCAACAGAGAAACTAACCCTGCTCTCGGTCGTTTTTCTGTCGCACTGCCTCACAGTCGCATCGCTAAAACATCAGCTTTCCAGCCTTCACCGCAGTTGGCGAACCAGTTTTCTCGAGAACCGAGTAGATGGCGTCTATAAGTGCCAGATCAGTGCCTAAAGCTCCCGGTTAGCACCGTGATATTGCAGGTGAGCTCATTTTCGCTTACCTGGTTTGCCCATAACTGCCAGAACGAATGGCAGTCTCTCCTGTTGGTTAGTGATTCTGGACAGATAAGGTATATCCGTAACTGCAAGTCATTAGCAACGTGGTCCGTAGACTGGCCGAGACAGCTCTTACGCGGAACAGCGAGGACTGGAGACTTCATGACTGGGCCTAGAGCCAGCGCACCTACGCCGTCTTGGGGAGGTCGTCTGAAACTAAATAAAGCGTGGGATCAGTACAGCCAGTCGGTAGAAAAACGCACGAGGTAGCTTACGTGGGCGTGTTGTCTCTGTATCGCGGAACCACACACTCGAGGGGCATGATGATGAGCGGATTCGAGTGTTTTTCCGTCAAAATGGTGCTATGGAACCATTTCTCAAAGACATCCAATTTTGCAAAGTCTTCATCTCTCTTCTCCTTCGACACGTTTTTGGCGAAGTTCCTGTTCGTGTTTGAACCGTTAGCCCGCGACCGCAGTGTAGAACAGAGTGATTTGTCTCCAGGCTGCGCAGATTCGGGCATAGGCCCAAAATCATCGGGCATGAGCCAAGGCACCACTCAAGTCAGTCGGGAAAAGACCTTACCACATGCTCTGATTTCGGGGAGAGATATAGGGTGCGTGATTGAACTTTTTGCGATACTGTTCAACGAAGGGTTGGCAGTTGTGGTAGGCATCGTAGGATTGGGCTCCCGTAGCCTAGAGCAGTTAGCATTTCAGTGAGTCTAGGGCGGAAACCACAGGCGCAGAGCACTTGCCTCTGTAATGAATTCGAGAAGTGAGGCCCCATTCGCCTCAGCAGGTGGGGACTTCGTCCATGCTTCCTCGAAGGAGACATCGTCGCCGCTGATGTTGAGAACAGATGCAACTTTGTTGGCGAAGTCTCTGGCAGTGTTAATCTGATCATCCTCAATGATGTTCCAGAAGTCTTTGGCCCATATCACGGACGAAAACGGCTTGGCAGCCGGTTAGCGAAGACAGGCAGTGTGATGCAGAAGAAAATACCTGCGGATCCGATTGGAGGGCATTGGCATCAAGCCACTCGGCGGCCACGTCTTTACACACCCCCAAGTCTCTCGTAAGAATGCCCGCAGTATCCCACGTCCTGGAATTGTCAGCCATGCCTCTGATAGTAATGTGAATCTGTGCGTACTGGCAATATGGGACGATTCCTTGAGGCGAGAGCGCTCCAAGGGTCGGGCGAAGGCCAAAGCATCCACACCAATGCGCAGGCCTGGTCACACTTCCCCAAGCTATTTCGACCATGTGTCAACGAGTCTACGAGACCGAGCCACGGGAAAGAACTTACTGTCGGTGCCGATGGCTATGTCAAGCCAATCATACGCCGCAATGGCGGCGGCGCTCCCCGAACTGCTGCCGCCGGGTGATTGATAGCGGTCTGCGCGGGGGTTCCAGGGTGCCTGGTAGTCAACGTACTCAATGGGTTCTTCCCAGATTCCAAAGGAATTCATTTTCGTCTTTCCAACGAGCGACACGCCCTGGTCCAGCAGCTTCTGCACGCATTCTGCCGTCTCGCTGCAAGGGGGGAAGGTATCGTAGAAAGCTCGGTTGCCAGCAGACGTCTTGATGCCACGCAGGTGAATGTTATCCTTGATGACCATGCGGAGGCCGGCCAGCGGGGAATGGAAGACTGCCCGAGCCTTGGTTCGAGACTGGAGTGCGAAGATGGGGGATTGGTCACCGGTGTCCAAGAATTGGAAGGACTCGAAGGCGTCGGAGGAGCTAAGTCGGGTCAGTATATCGGGACTAGAGCAGCATGTCGGCGCGGAGGAGCAGCTGCAGACGACGCACCTTAACTTGGGCTCCAAGGTGACCATGGAAGCCCCGTGGGTATCAGCCGCCAGCTTCCACACGTCCCTCAGCTCATGGCCGACGAGAAGGTAGGGGCCGGGGAGCAGATGTGGAAGCTCTGGAGGGGCGATGAAGGCGACCTGCTTGTTGCCAAGCTTGCCCAGATACTCTCGGGCTTCATCGGTCAATGTCACGCTGCGTTCGTCGGCTCCGTGGAAGATGACAGTGGCTAGAAAGGCGGTATCAAACACATCGTCCCGTTGCTCGTATTCGTGTACAGTATCTTGCACCCAGCTGGCTGTAATTTGGCGTTTCTCGTTGCTGCCATGTCGGTGCTGTGGCACCCTCAGAACACTGACGAGGCCAAAGTCATGGGCCCAGGGCAGCCGTGCAACAGCATTCTAAGACCCCGAGTTAGTCGCTCATGTGGTGACGGGACAGGGCACATGGCTGGCACTCTCACGGGCTTGGAGGGTGGCACGAAGTATTGGCCCCCGGCGACGGAAAAGACACAGCCGCCCTCGAGGCGGGCAGCCGCGAATGGCGTTGGCGTTGGAGCTTTGGTCATGATGTTGATGGCCCGGTTGACGACGGACTGTGACGTTGGGAAGCAGCGATCGGCGAGCAGGGCCCCGCGTACCATGGAGATGTTCCCCGAAGAGGCTCGCCTTAAGAAGGGCAGAGACACGATGGACGGGAGATGCCTGCCTCAATTCTGCTTGCTGGTGCAGGAGTGAGCTCTCGGTGAGTCTGCACTCTGGAGGCGAGGTGGGGGAATGCGCAGTTGCCTGCGGCACGAGGGGAGATGCATGGAGCCTCGCTACAGCAGTACATGCTGTAATTAATTACCTTTGTGTGTTGGAAGGTGTGAGTTGAAGCTTGTGCGGCTGCCCTCATGATGTTGACTAAGAGCAAGGAGCTACCTAGCCAGGGCCGAGCCGCACCAGAATAGGTACGGATACAGCACGGTAAATTACAGTACATGCCTACGTCGCCGCCCGCGGTACGACGGGAGATGCCTAACTAATTACTGCGGAGCCTCGCTATTAATACAGCAGTACCATCGCAGTGGCAGACAGCTGGCAGGGAGCGACAGCAGCTTCGTCCCGCGTCCGATTAATAATACTGTACCGGACTAATGAAAATGCCTCGTCTGAGCGACAGTCCCGAAATATGCAGGCAGCGCCAATCGAGGAGTGGAAGCCACTGAATTATTGACGGGCGGATGAGTGTGGGCCTTGCATTGCATTGCATTGCATTGCATATGGCACGGGTGGTTGAGAGAGAGGGTGGACTGCGAACGACTTTCATTCTGATTCGAGCATGTCCGCCCAACATGGTGCCGCTGTGAAGCCCAGAGCAGTTTGCTCGCTATTCATAGTCAGGCCCAGCCAGGAGTTGGTTCAGTGAATCACCAACACGCCGCTGGTGGGCAGCCGTAGGATAATCAGCCTACACCCACGGATGGGATGCCGCCCGAAGCGGTTTGTGGGCGTTCAATTCCATCCTTCAATATTGGCAATCGATGCCAGCGCTCTTGTTCGAGGAGATTTGATACTGCCACTCCAGCATCACGAACTTAAGGCTCTGCGAGGCCTCTCGCTCTCGCTCTTCATTACCGTGAGTCTGCCTTGGGACCTTGGGACCCGTCTGCGTCATCGAATCCGTATAGGCCGTCAGTTGGCTGGATCCCATTGTGCAGTTGAGTTGCACTACGTTCCCCCCCTCCCAACAGGGGGGCATTCGATGCAAACATCATGCTCAGCCCTGTCTTCGAACCTCATAGGGCCCAGGGACAGCATCAAGACTGTGCTCTCAAGTAAGTGCAGACACCATGCTACCCCTTTGGACCAACGCCGTCGGACTCATGTGGCTGTACACAGCGTCATCGCGGTCCCAGCGGTTGGTCTAAGCCCAACTTCAGTGTGTACAAGGGTGACCAGCGAGGCTCTTTGGCTCAGCGTCTCATTGCAGAAGGCTCCTATCTGCTGGAAGCCCTGTGGGATCACTGCAGGAATGGTCAGGTATGTGGGAGCAGGAGTAGTGAGCACAAGAACTTGCGGCTGAGCACATCGCAGCATGGGAAGACCCCTCTCGTGTTTATCTGCCATGGCACAGGTGGACTTGTGCTCAAGGCGGTGAGTGTAACCCTGATTCGGTCGAGGCGCTCAGAAGCTGAGACACCAACAGGCGTTGTGTGTCTGCCGCGATCACCCCTTTCAGTTCCGTCCCGTCATTGACATAATAGCTGGGGTCATCTTCCTCGGAGTGCCACACTTTGTCGGGGGCAAAAAAGATGCAAGGAAGACGTTTGACCTGTTGCTGAAGTGCCAGCACAAAGGGATCGGGAGAGACTTGTCCAGCAACAGCGACATCGAAGAGTTGATGGGTATTTGCAGAGCGTTCGAAGCCGTCGGCCTCCGAGTACCTATTATTTCTGCGTATGAAAGCAAAGAGACTTCGACACAACGTAACTTGTTCTCACTTCGCCGTAAAGGGAGACATCAGGTGGTAAGTCGAGGGGAACTTCTGTTCCGATGAGCTATCCGCACTCATCATAGTATCCAATTGACCAAGCATAGATCGTACCAAAGGCACCCGGGATAATGCACGCCAGCATGGAGACCCACGTCGACAGCAATGCAAATCACTTCAACATCTGCAATGTCGAAATTGGTAGTGGGCTATACAGGGAGTCTGCGAAGCTCTTCAAAGATGTTCTGGCCAACGCGCAGGAGAGGATGGCCGAGGCGAGTCACCGATGCAAGTATCCAACTCTTTGTGGGGCTTCGCCGAAGAAAATACTGACAAATTAGATGTCGTACCGGTCGGTCTAAGAGACGACACCTTGAGGAGTGCAAGTACAGCTGGGCTTACAATAACTGGGGAGGTCACATCGGATCGGTCTTATCTGCCCATTTCATCTCCTCTAGGGGGCGTGTCGGGAGGCTCGACGGCAGGATCGTTTGAGTTCATCCCTAGTGAGGCTGTTTTGGAGCCTACCAGTAGAGACCCCATCTTGCCCTGTTTCTTGATTGGAACTCATCGGAGAATGAACCACTTCGTTGGGCGGCAGGAAGACCTGGAAGCCATCGATGAGCACCTTCTCCCTCATACGCTAACAGCAGAGCGAAGGGGCAGTGTACAAGATGCTGTGCAGCCAGGTAGGGACAACGAAAGCGATCTGCGTTCCTTTGCCATCTGTGGATTAGGTGGAATCGGGAAAACACAACTCGCTGTCGAGTATGCATACTCGCGGAGGGACAAGTTCGAAGCCATTTTCTGGCTCAGCGCAGACGAGCCTGACATTCTTGCCAAGCACTTCGCCTACATTACTGAAGCACTGGGGCTTGACGATGAGCTGTCGGACCTCGCGGCATGCCGAGACGTGGCAATGGGCTGGCTTTCGGAGCCGTTGAGAAAGAGATCGGAGCCAGAGTCGCCAGAGAATACCGTCAATTGGCTCATCATCTTCGACAACCTCGACAACCTCGACGTTGTTGCCGACTACTGGCCAAAATTCGGACGCGGGTCTGTGCTGGTTACCAGTAGAGACTACTTTGCCAAGCACACCATGCACGTGGAGCATGGGAGAGACCTGATGCCCCTGTCAAACGACGATTCGGAGGCACTGATGCAACGCTTGACTCATGTGAAGGCCGACCCTCTGCAGAAGGAAGCCCTAGCTACCATTGCAACGAAATCAGACGGGCTTCCATTGGCTATTAGCCAACTATCTGGCATTTTTCGACATCTTAGACTGTCATCATACGCGGCGTTCCTGAAGTATCTGAACGAAGAAGGAATACAAGGCATTTTCGAGAAGCATTCGGAACCTACCGACTCCCACAGGATCAGTACGCTGGCGACAGTTTGGGCGCTCGACAAGCTCTCAAGTGGTACTAGGGCATTGTTGCAAGTCATCAGCTTGCTCGACCCCGACGACATCCTTGAAGAGCAGCTAATCGACAAGGCCAACGTCGTAAGGCTCGATGGGTATCCCAAGTCAAGAGGAGACTACCTTCGTGCACGATCAGAGCTGGTTTCTTCGTCCTTGATCAACTCCGTCCCCCTGCAGAGAAACAGGGCTGCTGCGACTGCATCGTTAGCAGACAAGACCTCAGCTTTGCAGATCGCTGGAGACACGGACCTAGAGAAAATTTCTTTACACCGCCTTATTCAGGTCACTTCAAGAGGCATGATGAGTAAGGAAGAGCTAGTGGCGGCATTCCAGGCGGTTACCAATCTCATCATCGTGTCGTGGCCGATGCAGGACATGAAGGAACACCACTCCATTGCAAGACTTGACAAGTGTGAGAACATCTTCCCCAGCGTTCTCCGCCTGAAAATTGGGTTGGAGGCGCTCATCAAAGATTCGATCGACTTTCCCCTGAACATCCGTGCCGCCCGACTCTTCAATGACACTGGATGGTAAGTCCAATTCCTCTGTACTTCTTAGGATGTCGCGTGCGTGCTTCTAACTTATTTAGGTACATGTTCGAGCGTGGATTGATGGAGGAGAGCAAGCCCTTCTGTGAGCTCGGGCTTCTTATCGGCGAGCGGCTGCAGGACCAGCTGGGAGAAGTGGCCGTAGAGTCGATTCGCGAGAGCCACGGCTTTCTTGGAATCATTCTCACTGAGACCAACGAGCATTCTCGCAGCATGTGGCACAAGAAAAAGTGGCTGACCATGTTGGTGGAGAGGAGATCAGCCTCGGGTGGCCATGTCGAAGACTACGAGCTCGGATACGCGTACAACGAGATCGGCGTGGCTTACGGTAATAACGACATGCTTGAAGACGCGGCTGATGCTTTCAAACGGTCAATTGAGATCTTCCAAAGTATTGAAGACTACGAAGATACTTGGCTAGGATGGCCCGAGCCGAATCTGGGGTTCATTTACTGGATGCAAGGCAAGTTGGAGGATGCCGAGGAAGCCCTTGTTGAAATACTCGACATACATGCTGCTGCATGGGGCGTTGATGACATAAAATCGTTCAAGTGGGTATTCTTTATTGACTCTTTTGCGGTGCCGCGAGGCTATCAGACTTCAGTGCTAATCGAAACAGGACTGGCAAAATTCTATACGGCATGGGAAATGTGCTGGAATCTCAAGGACGGCTCGAAGAGAGCTTCAGCTTCCATCGCAGATGCCTCGAACAATTCAGAAAAGTGTTGGGGGTAGGCCATCATCGGTTTGGTGATATATGCCATAGGATGGCCGGCCACTATATGCGACAGGGCCAATACAAAGAGGCAGAGTGAGTTTTACGCGCGCATACGTTGAATAAATTCCTTGCTAACATTGGTTTTCTCTCCAGAGATTATCTTAACTCTGCGTTAAAAATCTTCAACTCGCGCTCATACTTGACAAACGAACGGGCGAGAACTTCGTTCAGGAAAAGCAAGCTGCTGCGCTTGATGGGAAAGAGAACGGCGGCCAACAGATTATCGTTGGAGGCGTACGAGACACGAAAGCAACTGAGACCACTGGACGGGCGCCCGTTGGAGGAGCTAGAAGAGGCCGATTTTGATGAGCTTGTTGCGTTTTGGTCTCGCTAGGCATGGAATGCGAAGAAGCGTTTGAGGCTGTTGTCCGGAGGATGGGCTTTGCATACTGCCGCACTACTTGATCCTCTCATCGAAGCAAACCTGTAATAACCAAATGAAAAAGAAAGAGACTGGCGGATTCTGTGTAATACTCACTGGACGCATATCTGACTGGTGTTCACATGTACATCTTGACCACCATCTAGCACTCGACGCGTACGCGGCCAAGCCGCAGCCTCACATGTTTTTCAAGGCGAGGTATCCGTACTCTTGCATCTACTGTTGGGAATGCCCGAAGCGCCTAGCAGGTGTTCGCGTGAGGCGCGGGCGGCGGTGACACCACATCACTCCGTCTGACATGGCCCCGACCATCCCCGGCCTCGTATTTCTCTGCGGCTGACGCTTGGGTGGCCTCACGCAGCCCCAAACGGTCCGGACCACTGGAGATACTCTTCTGTGTAATGTGATGTATGAGTCGCCACTTGCGCCTGTGATGTGATACACACTCGCTGATACGAAACCCGATACATTGCTATTTACACGCGCTTCTGGCAGCACATTCCGCGCCTTGTCTTGCCGTTCTCTCCCGGGCGCTATACGATCATCTTGCGGCATGAATCTCGCAATTACACCGCGGCAAACTGCGAAGAATAGGGTGACGACACTGGGTGCGAATTCGTCCAACCGCGCAACGCTTCTCGCCGCCCCGTCATCGCGCGTACGCAAGGCAAAGCCGGCAAAGTCACGTAAGCAAACACGTATAACGTCTCCATATTCAGCTTTGATTTTCAATCCCTCAAGAAAACAGGAGCTTACCGACAGAGCTCACCGCGCAGTAAAACCAGACGAGTATGCCAAGGCTGTAGAAGGCTACGCCGCTCTGCCTAATGGCGCTGGACAAAACTACATCGCGCTGGCCAAGTTCCTCGCCGAAGAGTTGAGGTCGATAGACTATCATCTCACCCCAAGCTCATCCCGGGACGACTTTGTAGTTCTGTACCCTCTCGACGTCGAAGACGACCACCACCCTTCGCTCGGTGCCGCTTCATCGTTACCGACGCCGCAGCACAAACCCTCTGACTCTGACCCTGATCCCGATTCCGCGGATGATAGAAGCAGACGCCATGTCCCGCGGAAGCCCATGACGTTTTCCGAGCCCAACGGCTTCTTCTCTATCACTGAGCGGCAGAATGGCGAGCCGCAAAGCTGCATCGTCTTCATGCGCGGCTTCATGTCTGCGGCATGGATCAACAGCGTCGGCGCCCGCTACGTCGTGGATCCCGAGTTCTTCTGTCGCCATCTGGACTTTAGGCCACCCGATGACAACTCGAACAACTTCTCCATCCCAGCGCTGCCTTCTTCTTCGTGGTACCTGATCGAGCTGCCCGTCATGACCATCGGGACCCGGATGGCAGCGAGAGGGCCCCTACGGCTCGATAGGCTGGCAGATCTACGGAGGCAGGGGGTTGAAGCGTTGACGGACCATCGCTACGAAATCTCTAAGTTGTCGTCGACCAAGATGACGGTGGGCGAGTCGATGGTGCGCAACTTCTACGTCTTTGACGAAATGCACTTTGCCGTGGAACAGCGGATTTCTATTTGCATGCAGCCGGCTAACAATGGAAAGACGTTCAGCTGTGAGTGCCTATCCTGTTTCTTTAGCAATCGAGTAAGATCGATCCTGACTGTTGGCTGTGGTTGAAAAAGTAATCGTCTGGCTCGACTCTGGCGCTCCCATCCCCAGCCGTCCGTCTGTGCCTTGGTCCGTCCGACAGCACGAGTCTTACTACCTACCAGTCATTCTACACAGGCACATGGTCGCACTCAAGTTCCATCTCTTCGCGTCTGCCGACTCAGGCGACGATGCTCATGCGCGGTCCGCCTCCAGCCTCCCGGCCGACTACGGCCGCTCTCTGCGCCCTAGCATCATGGCCCGCGACGCACTGTACAGCCTAACCGAGGTCTTCGACTTTGCGGCAAGCTCGCAGATGGAGTTCTTGAACCTCATTGACGTCAAGCTCGACAAGTACACGTCGCTGCCGGCGGAAGAGGACTTCCAAATCCTTCCGAACCTCACATATATGAAGCAGACGCTGTACCAGTACATTCAGAAGACGCAGCGTACCCTCGACAGCATCAGGAGCGCGCAGCAGGGCAAATGGCCAACGGAACAAACCGACTCTGGGAGCAGGAAGGCCAAGTCGGTTGCACAGAACCTCGAGCAGGACTTCCAGCACCTCCTCAACCGCGCCGACAGGCTCCATCGCCGCTCCACCGAGGCCATCACCGTGCTCATGTCGAGCCTGTCCATCTCTAAGTCGCAAATGGCCATCGTGCAGGCCCAGCGCGTGGGGAAGCTGACGTTTCTTGCCTTCATCTTTGTGCCGCTTTCCTTCACGACCAGCTTCTTTGGGATGAACGTGGCTGAGCTGGCGGATAATACCACAGGGCTCAAAACGTGGGGGGTGCTGTCTGCGTCGCTAACCGTGGCCATTATTGCACTTTTCTTCATGGATGTAGTGGGATACGCGCGGCGCATTTGGGCAGCTTGTAAAGAGCTTTGGGTCAGAATGTCTCAGTGGACAATCTAGCCGGCAAGCAATCTATGCACCAAGAGCCTGCACGGTAGATTCTTGTGCCATGATTTAGAACTGAGGCGGCTGGAGTCGAAGCAGTATAATGAATATAGGGTATATGTATGGTTCTGAAGCAAAGGAAAAGACCTGCTAGGCACGGAGGCAAATGGTAGCTAAGGAGGGAAGGTTTTCACTTACACAGATCGACAAGGCAGTCGAGGCACGCATCAATTGACCAGGAATTGGAACCCGGACGCTGTATTTAAACACTGAAAATTGACCCCTGAATTGAATCGGGATCGTACAACGCAGCAGTTTAATCGGGTTCTGCTGCTATATGAGGTAGACGATTGGATCTGGTGAGCTCGTCAAGGTGGCTTAATAGTCTGAAGGTATTCCTTTTCGTCTGTCTCTTTTAAGGCCCCTAATACTTTTAGACGAGAGTACTCCGATATATTATTTATGACTAGAATATAGCCAACGTATTGCTTCTTATATAGAAGTGTATACATTATCTTAGTTATTATATATTCCCTGCATATAGGCATGTTTCTTCGATGTATGTATGCCCGAATGCCTGGGGGAATGAGCGTCGTTCACTTAGCTTCCTTATGGGGCATTTTCAATAATCTTGTACGCAAGGAGAGTCTGAACTAGTATGTGCCGTCGGACTACGCGTAAATATATATACACGGATTGGCGCGAAAGCCAAAATGCGAACACTCAACGGTGAAGACAGCAGGCGGTACGGCTTCAACTTGTCTTGAATACGGCCTTTTTATACACACGAAGCTGGGTTTCCCATCATCATGGAAGAACACAAGTACATTGGTTTTATCATGCTCTATAAGATGGCTCTAGTTAATGGGCCCTTGGTTTTCCTTATCGGGCCCTTAAAGTGTGGCTAAAATAGTCACATGACTGTCGCGTCCCTTTCCCCGCCAAAACATTAGCCGCCAACTGTGAAAAGCTGTCAATACGGCCTCCACAGTGCACGCCCCCACTTGTGGGTGAGCCAAAGCGAATCCCAAAGTGGAGGCGGGCACGAGTAGTCAATGGTGCATCCAGCTAGAACGCGACAAAGTTGACAACGCGCATACAACGCACGCCAACGTACGAACGCACGAACGCATACCAAGGTGAGGGCATCCCCAACGCACCAACGCCGCACCGATGAAGTCACCTTTCCGCCGCAAGTTCGAGACCTGGCAAGCTGCTGCAGAGAGCGCCGTAGCTGCATTACGGAGCGAGAGCCTAATCAGGGACTGTGTCGTTGTAGCGACGTAGCCTCGGGCATATGTTCCACGAGCCTGTTCAATTGCCTCACTCATTGACATTACATTAAGCACCCTACTTTTAACGGCTCTACGTGAAATGCAGTTATGCTGTCGGGCCTATGACGCCGGCAAATGTGTGCACCGGCGCGCGTGCAAGCAAAGCCGCAAAGTAGGTTTGACAGTCCGCCACACTTTCAGCCACACTTCAAGGGCCCGATAAGGAAAGCCAAGGGCCCATTAACTAGAGCCTATAAGATCTGTTGTTACCCGCCTTATGTCCCCTTTCAATCAATGACAGCAGGCTCAATGTTCCTTCCACCTACTTCGCGACTCGCGTTTGATACCCTCGTTAAATATCAATCTTAACAAGTTCGAAGTCTATAATTGGACAACCCGGGGTTCGAGTCCCGAAGAGACTACTTGCAAGTGAGTCCTGAGCCCAGCTCCAACGCTCCATGTATTTTATTAAATATCCACGCTGGTCTCGCGCCTTGCTCACTGCTGGCTCTTTCGCGGATGAAAAGCTTGGACGAACTGAGCAAGGCGACTATCGCAAGGAAAGCCAGCCTCCTAGAAGGCATTCGTCTTGTATAGGCACAGAAGCCTCTGAATCTATTTTTACGCCTAGACGTTTGTCAGTGATTGAACGCATCCTGTATTCCACTTTACCTTCTCGCCAGGCACCATCGACCTCAAACTCCAGGATTAAACGGCGTCCTGTTCCACCTTGGACTTTCTCTCTTCCTGTTCGTTACTAATACACATGCCTGTATTCGTGTTTTCTCCGACTTTGCGGATTGTATAGCCGAAGTCTGGTTTTCCAACTTTGACTGCACAAGCGGATCAAGACATTGGCCCCTGATCATTGTCTCATAGATGGCGTTTTCAAACGACTCCTTGCATCTGCCATGTTAAGTGACACCTGACGGACCAGGGCAGTATTACAAATAAAGCCTGCGCGAATGGGCATGCCATGGCGTGTAATACATGCAGGCTATCATGATGGGATATCATATGTGCTCTGCATGCCACTTGGGTCATCGGGAGCTGAGAGAACATTGAAACCAGGTTTGCCTAGAATGCACTAGTCAAACGTGTTGCAGGGAACCCCATGATTGGGAAAACCGAGATAAGTCAGCCTGGACGGCGGCACGAGCCCTTAAGGTGTTATGGGGGTTTGCACCCTGTGTGTTGTTGATGCGGAATGTATATGATGGTCCCGCGCCATGCGATGCGCGATGCGCACTTTCCTTTCTCTTACGCCTTGTAGAACATTAACTCTTCTGTTCGTCCTATCATATGTGATCCCCTCGTTTAAAACCGTTATATGTTTAATAAGCTTGGCTTATTCTATATAGATGCTTAATTGTTTGATTTCCATCCTCTATTCCTCTCTTTCCAACCCGTCTAATGCTCCCTTCCTTCTCTCTATGCTTCCTTCCTCGTCAGGCTTGCCGTCAGGTACGTTGTCAGGCTCGGATCAGGCACACACGCCTGCCAGCCTCACCTACTGTTCTACAGCTAGCTCTACCGCCTCATTCTACCGACAGCGTTGCCCTCATGCAGTCAGCCTCTTCAGCTGACGCTCTGTGCTGACTGTAGCTGGTCGGGCAGTAGGCTCTTAAACCGACGGATCCAATGATCGTGATCTTCGCATCACAGTAAGACGCAGTTGTCGGAGACTCCTAACGCTTCCGACGCTGCAACCGCTGGTGCCCATACACGTGGCAGCTGCTACCGCAGGTAGCTGTTGGCAGTCAATCTCTCTCCCAACACGACAGTGACGACACCAACAGTACATTCCAACGATAAAAAATCTTTACAGGCAGAGCTGTGGTCCTCCAAGCCACTGTGACATTATCGCGAAGGGTAAGCACCAGATAACGGAAGTGTTGCACAAGTACGAGGTAGTTAAACCGACCTAGGAGACGTAGTTAGACCACGGACTATCTGGCTTTACATATATTTTGATTAGCACAGGGATCTTTTCCCCCCAGAGACTGGCATTTCCGCACGCTTGTTTTGGCCGCACCCACGGCCCAGTGAAGCTTCCTAGCATACGGTGGAGTTTAACACATCGTCTAATATAGCTGTGCAGCACTACCATCTACGCATGCAAACTCATAGAATCAAAGATACCGGGTGCTTTACCTCAAAGAAATACAATCACCCGTAGGTTCTGGGTGGATAACGACCCGAAGTCCTGCTGCGCATGGCCATGTCTTCCTAGGTGGCAGGTTGTTGGCAAGTGATCTTCCTGATATATCTCTCCACATGTACAAGATTCAGTCGAAAGCCACACCATCTTAATAGTCATCGTCTTCCTCGTCGCCGTAACCAGGACGACTGTCTTCAAGCCCTTCCTCATAAGCGTCTTCGTACTTATCTTCTTGGCGGCGCAAAGCACCTCCTACAAGGGCGCTACCGACGGCTCCGACAGCCAGTCCACCTGCAGCGCCAAGCAACAACCCGCTCTTTCCGCTCTTCTTTGCCTCAGGTACCGCGGCACCCGAATTCTCCGAAGCATTAGTGGGCTGTCGAGGTTGCATCTGCTGGGGGGGTGGTTGAGGGCTATACCCAGGTTGCGCCTGGGTGTATTTTCCCGCTTCTCCTGCGGGGAAATATCCTCCTTGGCTTTGAGGAGTGTTTACGGCTGGTTGCTGGGGCAGGTATCCACTTTGTCCGTAAGCGGTATTCTGCGAACTAGGGGAGTACACGTCCCTAGACATGTCGGAGTGTCGAGTGTCGGACGGCATAGCTGGAGGCGGTGGCGGCGGCGGTGGAGGTGGTGGTGAATGAGCCGTCGGAACCTCCCATTGTGTCCGGTTCGTTGACTGCTCTACATAGTACCATCTTTGCTGTTGCTGGTCAAACAGAGTTGTCCATCCCATTGGCAATGTCGGCTTGTCAGGCGTGGATGGGGTTTGGTAGAGTGGTTGCGGCGGCGCGGGAGGAGTGGCGGCATAGTACTGCGTGGGAGGGGGTCCTCCTTGACTGACTTGGCTTGGGGGCTGCTGGTACCCGTAGCCAGGCTGCTGGACTGAGAATAGGAGCGAGCTGTAAGCAGGAAGTTATTAAAGATGCGAGATGATGGTGGGCCTAACCAGGAGGTGCTTGATAGTATTGGGGGGGTTGCTGCTGGCCACCGTCCCTTTTGTTGCCGAGGCCAAGGCTTTCGAACTGATTGCCGATGCGGTTCATGAACGACATGGCTGGCTAAGTGTGATGGTACAGGAAATTGTATGGATGACTGGCGACACGGAGTACAAGTCCAATATTTGCAAGCCAAGGCAGAGGAAGCCAGTATGGATATTAATTTTGTCAGAATAGCAGGCCAGATCAGTTCAAGAGCGAATAGTTGCCAGCAGCGACTATTTGTAGAATTGAATCCCGCCCGAGAAAGGGAACGGAGCCATAAAAGGGGTTTTTTTTTTCATTAACTACGCCGGTTAGGCTATGCCGGGGCTGAAGGTACCGTGTTTTTTTTGTTTCCGCAGTGTCCTACCTGAGGGAAATAAGCATCAAGTCTCACTCGGTGAACATCCGGCGCCTCGGCTAAGCCACGCAGTGTTGGTCTTCCCACAGGGGCCCAGGCTCGAAGACATGGGCACATGCGTCGACTCGAATCCTCGTCAGGGGTCTTTTGTCGTGGCGCAGCACACATACGTCAGCCAATATTGATTAAACCGCGGGAGTCGCTGCCGGTGTGTGGAGGCGCAGTGAGACATGGCCAATGCCGTGAGGAAAGGAACCAGAGTTGTGTAGACGGGGGTTGCAGGGCAGCAGCCACTAATGCAGTGGTGCTGAAGTGCGGGTCTAAGCCCCCCCCTATCGTCTCGCAGCAATGCCTTTCTGTATCCGTAGGTTTTTCATAGATTACTTCCGTATTACTTCCGTAGGGCAGAATGCTCTACACTGTTGATAGAACATGTCAAATCCCCTGAGTCTTATTTTATTACTCGAAATATGATAATATAAACCCTGATTTGTAGAGCTAGAGGCCTCACCTCTACGGGAGCCTGCAGCAAGTTAGCCCTGTCACCTGTGCATGCTTCTCTACAGTTAACTGCATTCGTTGTGACAGAAACACGCAGTAATTTGGGGTAATAGTTAAAAGAAAAGTAGTGAATATAAGAAAGACTTAAAGCTATCTATATATAGTTTCGAGGCTTTTTATAAAAGTAGAAATCCAGATCTTTCAATAGTATCTTAAGCAATAGGAGTAACCTTCTCCAAGGATTTTCCCAAGAAAGGTAGTGTTAATTTAGTTATATCTTTTAGAATTGTCTCCGAACAATATATAAAGCTTGGAAAGGTTGGCTGCTTTTTGACTGGCACGTACTTGTCGAAGAAAATGCGCTTCTAGTTAGAAAACAAGGTGTATATTGCAGAGTCTCTAACCTAGAAAGGGTTTTCCTTATCATTCGGCTTCTAGGACTCCGAACTTTATTATTGAGGGTAACAGCCTCATCCAAATGAGGAGAGCCTTGGACTTCCATCTCCATGGCACCCGGGCCGCCCCGTAGGTCCGTCCACAGCCCTCTCTCCAAGCCCGCAAGACCACCAAACCCGCGAAACACCATGAGATTCTTGGGGATATGAAGGGTGCTCAGCTGCTCCGGGGAAAGCAAGGCATCTCCTCTGCCCGCCATTGGAGCATTGCCAATTTGTAAGACTCAAAAGAGATTGGGGAAATGGGTATCGCTCGCTAGTAAGAAACGAGAAGCCGTGGTGGACAGTATCAATCCAGGGCGCCCCATTTGCCGGCGGTATATAAAATGGAGAGCATGTGTGGGAGTCCCAAGGAGAGGTCTGGACACGAGCGGTGTATTAGCGCTTCAGAGCTGTCAATAAGATTCAGCCCCCACGTAGCCATGCCTACCAGGGACAAACGGCAGGCTGGAACACAGCCACGGCACTGCCACATATTCACTGGTTGAAAGCCTGCACCATTGATGACAGATGCTGGCGTGGGTGACTGAAACTCACCAGGGCTCGAGCTGACAAGATCTCTTGGTGCCGGCTTCTTTGCGCCATGCCATGGAACGCGGACTTCAACCATGACCTTAATGAGCGGATGGGTCAAGACTTTGATAGTTTGACGGGTAAGGTTATCCCCCTCGTTGACCCCAACCCCTGAGATGGGCCACCTACAGATGTACTTAATTGCGGGCATGCATCCTTTCCTCATAAATTTTGAACGTCTGTTTCCCCCTCAAGCGAGTGTTGCCAACAGGCGCCCCCGTCTTGACAGGCATGAAGTCAAATACCGGGACAAACCATCAGAGCAACAGGATACTCACAGAATTACTTGTTTCCTTGATGACCAGATGATCCAGAGGTCTGTGAAGACGTTAAATACTCTCATTACCCTTAGCCGAAACGACGTTGAAGCTGGGCCGCGGGCAATAAGGCTTCCCTGCACATGTGGCGTAGCCCAAGAGTTCTTTTTGTTGTCCGCACACGCAAACCATGAAAGAGGTAATGAATAATGGGTTGGTGATGATGTCGCTAGCTACAGAAGAAACGAAAGGCCAGGTCTTATTTAGACATTACTGTGGAGTCGTCGTGAGCACGGATAGAGATATCTAGTCTCCTCCGACCCTTTCCTCGCGGGAAAGCGTCTCGGGCAACTACATGGCGTGCCATGTCGTTTCCCCATCCGCCTGGACGCCCTACGTTGGCCTGATAGCCCCCCCCTTTATATTTCGCATTGGAGATCGCCGCTTCCACTGAGTGGGCGGATGCACAGACACCCGGGGAGGGGAGTGGACTTGAAGTCAACCGGCCGCATGGCTCGTGCCGGATATGGGCGCGGCCTTCAAGCGTCTCGGCTTCGACAGGACTACTTGATTTGCTTTTCATTTCATAAGAGCCCCGTAGCACGAGAAATGATTGTCTATGGTCTGAACACGGACGAAATCGACGGCGTCCTGGAATACGAAGGGTACAAAATCGCCCACAAATAACATACACTCTCCTCAATCGCTTCAACGCCTCAACCGCCTAACCTTTTCGGCTTAGCCAGCGTCGAGCAAATCGAACCGGCAGCCTCCTGCCTTATCTCTCCCCACCCCCCAATGCTCATTCCCATCAGCTTGGTGGATGGACCGTTTGCATAACCGCAACGGGTGGTTTTGACGGCGGACCGGTGTATGTTGGTGGCGGAGCGTAGTTGATAAAAGGGGGCGGAGGCTCGACTTGCTCAATATCGTTATTCCGCTTCTTCCGCTGTCGAATGACGATGATGGCAAAGGCGATGAAGACGATGAGAACGATGGGGATAATGACGAGCTTGACTGCGGTTCCTAACATGCCCATGCTGAATCGAGTTTCTACCTCGGCTTGTAAGAATTGCGGCAAAAAGAAACGCGTTGATGTGAGTATAAAGTGCGGTTGAGTGGCATAAGGATGTCAGTCCCTCCTCGGATTCTTGAAAAGTAGTGGCGACGAGGTGCCATAATATATCAGCCACCTGCCCTATGTTTCCGGCGAACCAACCGCTGCGTAGCCATACGGCAAGACTATTGATCTAACTCGAAGGATTGACGCCACGGCAGAATCATGTTGCAATTCGAGCATGCACGACATCCGGTTCTCATTGGCCAAGAAAACCAGCGCTTCTGTGAAGCAGCCAAGGGGGGGCCGTTAGCTGGCCTGCTCTAAGAGGTGCACCAATGTCACCCAGCCGGCGCTTAGAATCCGGTCTTCCGAAGAATATGGTCGTGTCGAAGTCGCGAGTAGGCTACGCCCATAAGAGGACGTCCAATGATAGAGGGGGGTTGCTGTGCCCCCCTGCGCGGAGTGAGGGGTACAGGGGAGCCAACCTGTGCTGGGTTGCGCAAATAGCCTTAAGTAACGAAAGTTTTGAGGTCGAAGGTGACATACTGATGGTGTCAAAGAGTTCGGGAGATCAAGAAAACAGAACGAGGAGCAGGGGGGGAGGGAAGCGCCGGGGACGCCCCGACGTACAGGGACAAAGACTCCTGAGAATCACGGGCAAGGGGGGAAAAGGCACCAGCGGCCAATTATGACCGCCTTTGAAGCTTGAAAGAACGGTCGACGGAACGCAGAGGCAAAGGCAAAAAAGAGGCACAGGGCTCGAGGAAAGAAGAGAAAATTATGGGTCTCGCAGGGCTCAAGGCAAGCGGCGGATCTAGACCGTTCCTATTCACCCAAATCCGCACCAGCCCATGCAACTCCACGCAAGCACTGTGGCGATGCCCGGCATTCTGTTGGCTCCCATTGGCTTCGACTTAATCCAGTGTCCGATCAGCAATCGGCTGCTGTCATTTGCATCCGTTACAAGATGCCGGCACCGCGGTGTGCATTGAGGTCTCGGCCATTGCTGCCGTAGTTGTCCACATCCTGGCCCTTAAGGGGGGGTTGGAGGACCAATGTGCTTCGCTTGACGACGACAGTGCCGGCCATGGGGCAGATCTTACCTCTTGGCCGGCATCAGTTTGCCGACAGCGGAGCCGTGACCTTGTGGTCGGGTCACTCAGTGCCACTTGGGCCACTGCTAACGCACAAGGTCTCTGTATTACTTCAGGAGAATCTCGGGCATTCCGTTTGGGGCGGTCTTATGCCAAGAAGGAGAGCTGCACGGCGGTGAGCACCGACCACCCTTGGCGACTTACGACCGTGCAGATGAATGTGAGCCGCCCGGGTTCAGAAGAGGGGTGGATCCAAAGAGGCATTTCATTATGCATCAAGTCAATGGTCGACGCTCCCCGGGCAACCTCGGTCTCCTAAGTGTCGCCCATCAGAAGCCGGCATCGGCCGTGCTGAGCTGAGCTCGCTGATCTCATCACCGGGTGACCGCGACTTTGCTAGGGAAATTTTCAATGTCGACGAATTTTCGGACAAAAGCTCCCATTTGGGTTATTCCCCTTGAGTATAATAACGGAAGGGGGGGTAAAGGGGAATGCGGGGAGCTTTTGTGCAAATAGAGATTTGTCTCCGAGCGAAGATCAGTTGTCTTGAAACACCCCAATAGCTGACCGGGCTCGTTTTCGTATTGGGATGCATGCTAGCATAGATATTGGGCACCATCCAGACATCACTAGGCGTAGAGCTGAGACAACTACAAAAACATGGCCCTGCCACATCTCATATTATCACGAGCAAAATTCATAATGTATTATTATCTCTATCCCATCACTGTCGCCTTATATATTTTTGGCCAGTATCCCGAATGGCGAGATGGC